AAACAGTGAACTTATCTCTTGTAGTGTTGGTTGCGATCCTTGTGTTTAGGGTGTCTCCTTGACGATATCCTACTTCATTCTTGCTACCTTCTCCTGTGGGAGAGATGTCCATGTTAGCTGATCCCCCATCAGGGGGGTCGTTATCCGTAAGCATTACACACCAAAATACCATATATGATGGTTATTATCACTAGTTGTACTAGCGAGAGACAAAAAAGAAGGAATTTTTGTATGTATATACATACAACTCTGTGCAAAACGCTCCGTACGATTTTTCGTCTATGAAGGTCACGACAATACTGAAATTTCTATTCTACTATCACAAATTTTTAAATACGGTTCTGTCTAAAACCGTCCAATCAAATGTTGTCCGACAATTGGAAAATAGCCGACTAGTAGCACCTTCTGTCCGAGTACTGGCAAAGTAGGACTTTTTTATTAATATTTTTTTATAAAATTGCAGGAATATGTATCAGCAGTTGTCGGCGAAAAGTTAACATTATGATCACCTCGAAAAACATTAGTTGTGTTATAATTGTAGAATATAACACAAAAGTCGCAAATACATTTTGTCATCCGCTTTTGTCTAAACTGTCTGATCACTGGCATATATTCACCCTACCTCAGTAGACGTCAAAATGTGATGGATACACGCGAAAAATAATATAACTAGTTTTTATAAAGAACTGTATAACTGTGAACAGGCTAAGATTCGAAACTAGGCACCATAAATAACTTCTATTGAACTCAATAATAGCTACTCAAAGATGCATTACTCGTAGCTATTGGAGGTGAGTACCAAAATTTACATCATCCTTTAACCGCAATCTATGTGTTTCATTTATAAACAAATCAATAAAAATACTGAAACGCCAGAACAATGTAACACTGAATCTCGAATCATACCGCCTACTACATACCTACGCTTCAGAAATAGTAAAACTGATAAAACGTAAGTTATAAACGTTAAATAAAGTTTGACTTACCAGTTTATTTCTTCTTTGTCACCTCCCTGAAGTGGAGACGTTGAAGAGGATTCTCCAGACAGGATTAGTTACTGAACACATTAACCACAAACACAGAACATTTTTCTTGTGAGAAGAAAAAACGTCCTTTTGTTTTTTTACAATAATCTAGAAGGCGTCGCTTTTAAAAATCCGTCCACGGGCATCGCGCATCGTCTGGTTTACGTCCCGCGCAAAATTATTCAGTTAGATGGTTATGACGTTCAGGCAACCAGTATTACAGCTATTTTATTTAAGAAAGTTTGGAGTTATTTTTCAATAATTTTTGTTAAGACGACCTTTTGACTTTCCACATCATTGTTAGTATCCGATCAGTTAAATCATTCGTTGTGTTTTTTTTACTGAAACCGCTTTATGAAAGGTAGATGCGTTTTCTTTGTATAATCTCGTCACTACATTCCTTCTGCTTCAATAACAACCACCTAAAACACGTTCAGTGCAAAAACATCGAAAAGTCCGGGACACGGTTTTTGCTCGCACTACTCCACAGCGAGCACTTGAATGGCTCATTTCAAAAACAGTACCATTATCCTTGCATTATTTTACATGTGCCAAAATATCAATTTTAAAGTCCATAACAGTTTTCCGGGAGTTTACCATTATTATCAATAAACTATAAAGGTTATTCGAAATTTCAATCTTACAGAACTCAAATACTACATTAAGCCAAAAAAGGTACCTTAATACTGATCTATTTGGCAGTGACAGTTTATATTATCTCCAGAAAAATTCCAATTATGAAATAAAAGATACAAGCTATGTTTTCAATAAGGTCTACTAAAGCGAATAGCTTTACCGTGGTTTGATTTTTTCTTGAACGATATGACAGCGGGCAAAAATGAGAAAAACGCGTTTATACTAAGTTTGAGTAGACCAAAGTTTCTAAAATATAATTCAGAGTTACGATAAATCTGAAAGATAGTTTGACTTTCCAATACATTTTATAAAGCCTATCTAGCAATCTTTATTTTCTCTTTGCAGCGCACTGCAAAAATCATTCTGCTGCAACTTCAGGAAGCTGTTGTTCCTCGAGAAGCCAATGTTGTCGAAGTAAGCCAGAAAAATGCTGTTCTACATCAGCATGTGCAGAAAGCTGTTGTCAAAGAAAGGTGAACAGCTGTTGTGGTAATCAATGCAAGATATCTTGCGCAGAAAGTTGCAATAAATCTTGCGCCAAGAAATGCTGTGAAAATAACAAGGATCAATGCAACAATTGTTGTGGACACGAAGGCAAAAAATCCTGTGGAAAGAACTGCTGCGGAGCTCAATGCCAAAAATGTTGCGAGGAAGATTGCAAGAGACGTTGCGGCCAAACTTTCAAAAATTGCATCAGGGATCAATGCCAATGTTCTTGCAAGAGTTGCTGTGGAGACCAAGGAAGCTGCTGACTGAATAATGTATATATGCATATTCTATAGTAATAATTTCATATTATAGAGATGTTCAGTCCTTTTATCTACAACAATACATGGATAGTTTGTTGTACCATTATACTTTTAGCAGTAAAATATATTAATCAATGTGTAAACTAGATACGATTCTATGTTTGTAATTTGATATGAAACACAATAAACTAAATACCAATGGGACATGAGTTCGGTATAAGGGCTTTTCTCATAGTGTGTTGTTGGGTCTCAAACACGCAGATGTTCTATTTTGTCATCTCAAGGCCAAACTGTTGTGTCTTATATTATTTTCTCAAAGGACAAACAACATAATTCCCTTCAGATGCTGAAGTACTTTTTCTCGCGTTTTAGATGCAAAACAACGCTCTTACAACATTTCAGTCGAAGATTGCATATCAGTTAACGTTAACGGATGTGTTGTGGGAATGGCTCTGGAAGGGTTTTCGCGTTTTTTGGAGGGCTTTTGGTACATTAAAAAACGACAGGTAGCCTCATACTCGTTTATCATTTTGGAGGGCTTAACGTCCTTTTTGGGAACGGGAATGCCTACACCAGGAGGTCCCGGGCTATGCTGGTTTTACGTGGTACCATCTTAAAATTCGGAATAATGACTTCCAGCAATCTGAGCATGTTACGGCAGTTTCAGGCTATTGTCACCTGGAAGACATAAATAAATTGTCATTGTACTGTAGAAGATCACCTCTATGATTGAAACGCTTACAGTAAAGAAGATTATATCAATCCATATGGTTTTATTGGCCTAACAAGCACGGGGGATTACCTACTTTTGAAATGTAAATTCCAGTCGGAATCATGATTACTGAGAAAAACATCTTTCTCGCGTCTTTAATAACTAATATGTTTAAAACTAGTGTCAATAATAATAGTAGTAATAATAATAATAATTTATTCACATCAATGAACTCGCATTCCTCATAATAGTCGCTATTCGGCTGTTCAAGATATGCCTTACTGCTTATTCATATGTAAAAATGCAGAAACAATCGGCATGTTGGAGCTGTAGTGCTTTACAGGCACAAAGTATGAGGGAAAATAAGGTTTCACAGACTTTCATAACAGTGTTCCTGTTGAAAGATTTTTATGAGGTCCATGGGTCACAGCGATGAGGAGTCTTAGCTTTAACCAATCTCAACCAGCAGGGGTATTATGCAAAAAAACAAACAAAAAACGTTTACACAAACGACAAAATGTCATCTTGCAGACTAGGTAGTTTTAAGTGTGCAAAATAGTTCATTCCACGTTTGCTCGTCCATCTATGGAGGAATGACTCAACAACATGACATGCATTATTGGTTGCTTGTTGTTTGCAGAAAGCCGAGTAGTCTGCAGTGTTTATCTCTGAGAAGATGTGTATAAAATCAGTGATATTTGCTGTGAGAAACTTATTACTGAATATGCTGCAAATGAGATATATCTATTAGTTGTGCCCGATGGGTTATTCATATGTTATCCTTTCTGGAGAGAGAGAAGCGCGAGACAATTATTGAAATATGCTCTACTAGGCTCTATGTTTTACGTTTCATAAATATTCTTGCTTGTAGCATATTTTCTCACCTGTAATATACTTCAATAACTAGGGATTTTCTTTTCTTATTTCTCTCATTTTTGAAATTCAGCAAATTTACATTAGTAATTTCCAGAATGTATAAGAAACAGTGGATGCGCATCTAATTTCTAGCTTTGAATACATCTCAAGTCAGCGTATTTGTGACAAGAACCAAAGCAAATATCATCAACACACATTATTAGCACACAAGTCGTCACTATGCACCTATGCTCTGCGATTTCCTTCCAGCTATAACATACAACTTAGACCTCCAATCTTATCTAAACAGAGCAAAGTTACGAGCACATCCAGATAAATTCTTTGATTTCCACAGGATGTCAATACAATCTTTGGATGAACTTCATAATGGCATACGTGATAAATTACGAAAGTAAGATACCTGGATGAGATTATCTCTGGATACACAACATAGATCTACAAACCGAGGCCGAAGCATAAGAGACATGTTTGCTCTGTACTTCATGACACCGGCGGGAGAAATATCATACCTATATAACGAAAGGATTACCAATTTACAACAGTAAAAGTACAGTAGGCAATAGTCTAATCTTTGACATCTCTATTGTGGTAGTCCTTGTCATGAATATCCCACAAGCAGGAGTGCTTTTCAGCCAATGTTAGTTCTTCTGCTTCACACATTGTCCTGATGCGTTCGAGCTCTTAGTGAAGGTGCGGTACTGTTTTGGAAGCATTAAACTGTATCAGACTGTTACGCCCCCAAACAGTGATAGCTTCCAAATCTCTCGTCAGAAATGAAGCCTTCCCACCTCATCAGCAAAGATCGGAAGTTTTTTTTAGCGTTAGGCAAGTGTCCATCCTAGGCACAATGTTATGAAATAGAGACAAGACCAATTGAGGGAGTGCAGCCTCTGCAATCTGAGCATGTTACGGCAGTTTCAGGCACTTATACCTAGTCGCATTTTCTACTTGGAATTTTAGAAGGAAAAGGGACATTTGTAAGTAATGTAAAATACACAGGCGCAGGTTTCGCCTACAAAAAATCGGCAGGACTTTTATTCAAAACGAATATAACATAGTGTTCAATAATGATAATGCAATTATCATACGTTTGTATATAAAAATATTAACATAAATGATTCATTCTCATGATACTACAAACAAAAAGAAATGTGAAGATTTCACCGTGTTTAGATATCAACTCTGGTTGCTAATCCACAAAAATTGTCCTCTTCATTATAATTTCTGAATCTAGCAAATGATTAATACGAATTGTTATTCTATAAGCAAGGTATTATTTTCAAAAGCCCATTTTTTAGTAGATTTGCAACCATATTAGTTCAGGCGATTGAGCATGTAAAAGTAAGACCTAGTTACAAAAATTAATTTGCCCACTTGAAAAGAAAAAAAACATATGCTCAAAGGCTTAAACTAATTGTGTAACAAGCCTTCATACCTATTCTATCACCATACTTCAAGAAAAAACAACTAAAATCATTTTGTGTTTTATTTGTATAATTTACACAATGTGACTGTCATTACAGACAGTCTCATTTTCATCTCATCATATTCTTTTATTACAAAAAAAACTAAAGAACATACTAACTATAATTATTACAACGAACTTCACTAGCAAGGTTTTAGTTTTACATTTAAGAGTTTTAATTAAACCTTTCCCTCATTCCAATCATGTTTCCCACCACTTAACACTTAACAGAGCATTTAATCTAAACTTGAAACAAGATGTTTATAAATATTTGTCTCCAAAAAATAGATTCATGTAGATTTGCGAAATCGCAATGTTTGAAAAATGCAAATTCAGGAAAAGTTCTTCCCAAACTGAAGGATAACGCAAAAAGGTGACTTCAAATGAATATGTCTCAAAAGTTTAGCTAAGGTACTTTCAACATCTTCAAACACGCAAAATTTTGTACACCTGATCTAAATAAGAACCTAAAAACTAACTTAAATTTGGCACTAAAACTTGCTGACGCTTCAAAAAGACTGTTCTCACCTAAAAACAATAAGCAAACACAAGCAGCATAGAAAAATGAGGTTTAGCGATGACTTGAACAGTTTTAGAAATCAACGACTTTATATATTTTACATTTGTGAGTTATGTGGTTTAGACAAATATTCGGAAATATCATATTTTAGAACTGTTTCATCAAATTTCAACTATCCAAACTCCCCTTTAATTTGAATTTCCCCCGATTGTTTATACCTTTGAAACAACACTTTATGTGAGAAGATTTCATACCAAGAACATTACGACAATTGGAAAGTAAAGATGAGATAAAGTTAATTAAGGATGTCTTATTGGAGACTACAGGTAGTTCAAGATCACATGACAACGAGTTTTACACCAAATATCCACTATTCTGGATGTGTTATTTTGAAATACAGGAATCATTTGCCTCTGATAATGTCAAACTACTTGTAATCTAAGACCAAACCCTCAGATCGATGATTGATTGTACCCATCTCTCAAGTAAAGGTACTGTACAAAACGCAACTTAAGCAATGTCAAATGTCAATGCACTCCATCACTACCACATTGCAGTCTATTATTTATCGCTGCTGGTGTCCCGCAGGGACCTGATTGGAGGCGGTGGTCCGACACGCCGCGGGCGAACCACCAAAGTTGGTGTTCTGTGATGTTCCAAAAGAGTTGTTCTGTAGCGTGCCAAATCCATTACTCTGTGGCCCTACAGATGTGGCTGGGGATGTGTTGTTGTTGTTACCGTTGCCAGCTGACATTTTGCTGAATGCCAACAATGTATCTGGGAAGTTTGGTGGAGTTGCTGGGGTGTTGCAAGGTGTCATTACCTGGAACAGTGTTGCCAAGTTGTGGGATATGTCTTGAGAGCCGAGAGATTTTTAGGTCCGTCAGTAGCAAAGGGTTTATGTGATCTGTGTACACCAACAAATTCAAACTAGGTGGAGGGAGCAAGCCAACGATTTGCTTGTCTCCAATATCTCAGTCTGTAGTCAGGATGAAAGTGCATACTATAAGTCGACTTGAAATAGGTTAATTTTTTTACACTTGTCATTAAATTAGTATTTTTAGTGTAATTTTTTGAAAGAGTGACTGTTTGCAGATAAATGTTGTTATACGATTTCAAGACATGATACTTTTTGCATTATTTTGACAGAGCACAAGCCTAAAAAAACGTAGATCTTCCTACTTGTTAGGTTTATTATTATGTTGATACAATGTTGTCACTTTGGTAGGCATTGGTAGTCAAATGAGATAAAAGTATCCACTACAACTAAGCAATTTTGGAGACAATGCAATGTAAACATTATAGGCTTCTAGGCTTGATTCCTTCTAATATATTTGAATTTGTTGGTATATACCCCTATAGATCAAGTTGTGCAATTATATGAGTTTCAGAAGTTCATATAAACCATGAGAAAGACATTTCAATAATTCCAAAGGTTGAAAACCAAGGATTATACAGGGTGTTCCAATATTCCGTGGACATAGAAGTATCACGCATTTTTCTTACACAATTGGGCATGATTTGCCTCTATACAAAAGTGCTTCGATTGTCCGTTACGAGGGCGTCAAAGTTTTCTTTTTAAAATACTTGTTTTCGGATATTGTTAAAACCGACAGTCCGATTTGAATGAAATTTGGAACACGTGTTTTCCTAGGGTCTGAGAAGGGTGAACAAATTGTTTTCCTCTCTCAACGACTCTGAATTTTATTGAAAAGATCCTTTTGCTTACTACATTTTTTGTCTCTTGTAGAAACAGGTCGACTCGCATACTTTTCGAGAAAAAAAATGTTTTTCGAGGATGGCTTCTAAAAAATGTTCTCATTACATCAAGTGTTAATTCTAGTAGGCATCTAGTTTGAGGAAATGTGAGATGTTCTGTCAATATCAGATTATTTTCGACAACAAGCTTCATAAAGTTTAAATTAATAAGTAAAGTTTAAGTTTATTTTTGACTCTTAATTTTTAGTTTGCTCTTCATAAATTTTAAATCATTTAATGTTAGGCATTATTTTTTATTACTTTGTTGTTGTTGCTTGTTCTTCTCGTGAGTATTGAATATTCTTTCCACAAACGGACTGATATGTTGTTAGTACTTGGTTTCTGCGAGGGTAATTGCAGAAAAAGTGTTCCCGTGTATCAAGAGAAATATCCGAATCGACGAATTCGAAATCATCAGACTTTTGAGAAATTGGACGATTCCAACCTCTAAAAATAAATGATGAGAAACCGCAGCAATCGAACACCGCTTGTGGGAGAAGCTGTTCTTGAAGTAGTTGAAGGATATCCAGGTATCAGCACTCGCAGATTAGAACATGAACAAGGGGTTCAAAAATGCACTGTTAACAGGATTCGTTCTTTTCACGTTCAGCCTGTCCAGGAATTATTGTCTACTGACTATCACTCACGTTTGAGATTTCTACAAAATGTGTCAGAACGGAGAGCAGATCATTGGTCATTTCAGAAGAAAATTTTGTTTACAGATGTTTTACCTGACATGGTACGATTTTTCAATGGGAATTTAAAATTAACGTTTGAATGGGTATTATTGGTAACTTTTTAGTTGGTCCATATAGGTTGCCTGATAAACGGAAATAGCTATCTTCATTTTATAAAATCTGTTTTACCTAAAACCTAAATTATTAGAACTGACTCTGAATGTAAAAAGGGGCATGTTTTTATGCATGATGGTGCTCCAACTCACTTTGCGCGTGGTATAAGAAATTACTTGAACGAAAAATTTGATGGTACATACACTACCGCTCAAATATTTTGGGACAGTAAGTTTTTTTAAGAGAACTTAAAATAAATAATGCATATATGATGTTGATTGATTATAACCATCTATAATACGACTTTTCAAGCTAAAGATGTATAAGAATCAGTTGAAACACCCCTTCAAAGGGAGTAAATGTAAGCATCTTTAGAGATGCCGATATTTTTATTAGTTCATTGCAGTCATAAATTGGCCGAATTCCTGTCACTGCTTACTTTTTTTTTTGTACTATGTATTATGTTCGGCCTAATATGATACATAATCATTCTGGCTATTGATGAAACAAAGTGAAAATTGTATGTAGTTTAGTATAAACTACTAGTCGATGTGCTAGGGTCAGATTTTGTCAAAATAATCGAAAATGGTAAAGACGGGTAACGTTTCTCTTGAAAAATGGGGGGCAGTGTGTGCCTTACATGATGAGGGATTGCCCATTCAAGCGATTGCTGAAAGGCTGCATATAGGACGGAACACGGTGTTTCAAACATTGAAGAAAAAGAGAGAAACAGGCAGTTCAGTAGATCGTCCACGCTCTGGAAGACGCAGAGCTACAAATGTTCCTGAGGATAGGCGTATAGTAATAACAAGTAAACGAAATAGACATTTAACTGCGCCTGAACTCACACACAGCTTGAATAGAACGAGGGAAAACTCTGTGTCCGTCTCCACGATAAAACGCCGCTCACAAAGGGCTACCCTTAGAGGATGTGTAGCAGCGGTTAACATGGGCTCAAAAACACATAGATTGGGCCATTGACGATTGGGATCGAGTCCTTTGGTCGGATGTATCCAAATTTGAAATGTTCGGATCTCGACGACGACAGTTTGTACGCCGCCAACCCCATGAACGCATGGCTCAGCAATGTTTGCAGCCCACTGTTAAACATAGAGGTGGGAGTGTAATGGTTTGGGGATGTTTTGTTGGAAATCGACCAGTATATTTGGTTCGTATTAAGGGTATAATGCGAAACGAGCAGTATTTGAAAATATTGAAAAACCATGCTGTTCCCTCAGGACAAAGGATTGTTGGGAAAAATTTCGAATTTCAGCAAGGCAACGACACTAAGCATTCATCTCAACTATGCCGCAATTATTTGGACCAGCAGCAAGAACTTGGTGCAATGAAAATCGTGATGGGGCCTTCCCAATCTCCAGATTTGTCTCCTATCGAGTATTTGTGGGATGAATTGGACAGACAGGTGAAGCAACAAGAGCCTACTAGTGCTGCAAACTTGTGGGCTAAACTGCTGGAAGCATGGGTATCCTTATCACAACTATTCTTGAAAATTTGATACGTCAGAGGATGAGTCGTGTCTGTAATGCAGTTATTCGGGCTCGTGGTGGACATTTCGATGAATCACGAATTTGAAGTAAATTTTGATAGGAATAAGTTACCAACCAATTAAGTTTCAGTGGAAAATAGTTTCTTTTTTATTTTTTTGATTAAAAACACTCTAAGGTTTGATTTCCCTCAAAAAATGTACTGTCCCAAAACTTTTGAGTGGTAGTGTAGATTGGTAGAGGTCAAGAAGCTTGAATAGGTCAATGGCCACCTTGTTACCTGGATCTCAATACTTGCGATGTGGAGCATTAAAAACAAAAGTAAGCACACCAATCAACTATGGGATAAGATTCAAAATGCCGCAAATACATTAATGAATAATGACATATATATAATTTTTTGCGCCACATTTTTAAATGATAAAACTAAAATGGTAGTCCATTAAAAATGTAATAAGTAAATATCATACTTGTTTATTTTGCTAACTACACTTAAAAAATTAACAAGATGCTTAGGAACCCCTTGATGCAACTCTTTTTTTTACAAAAAAACTATCAGTATTCATCAGGGAAAGTTGCCAAAAAATTTTACTATAATTTAACCCTTCTCGAATCCTTTAGAGTCTTTTGTAAAAGGCATATATCAAACCATCTAGCAAAACACATATGTTCAAAATTTCATTCAAATTGGACTATCGGTTCTTACAATATTGCAAAAAATGTGTATTTAAAGAAAACTTTGACAGCCACTAATGGACCAATGAAGCACTTTTGCACATAGGTAAATCATGTCCAATCAACTCATTTTGAGTCTAAAAATATGTGGCACATCTATGTCCACCAAATATTGGGACATCCTGTATAGTTGAAATTGAAAAATCATTGATTGAAAAATGTTCTTTGATTTGGAAAAAGAACATCATTTCAAGAAGGTTATGAAAAATATTCACTTTACCTGTCCAAAATGTGCTGTACTACCATGAGGGAAACCTGGTAACGCAGCATCTTGGAAAAATATACTAAGGGCAGTCTGTAAAAAAAACACAAAGTTCGAGTTGTTTCCAAAATAATAATTAAAGTTTGTATTAAAAAGTTAACTGTTAATAGAACCATGAAGAGCCCCTTTAGAGTATTCTAAAATCTTGACACCATATGAAAAAAGGGGTGGTCATACAAGCCTGAGTTCTCAAAATTTACTGTTTCATTGACCTTCTAGGGTCATATTGAATTTTTAGTGGACCTGAACCCAAGGCTGTAGGTTTGACCTCCTGTAAGGTCTATCAAAAATCAAATACAAATCATATGAAGTACTTCAACACCTTGAATGATATTTTTATGTTGATCAAGAAGACAGTTGCACTAAAACTACAATGAGGTTCAAATTTGGCTGATGTCGTGGTGTAGAGTGTGCTGATGGAGTCCGTGGCTTCGTCGCTCGGGTTGCTAGGCAACGAGGTACCTCTATCTCTTTCTATCACACGTACTGCACGATTTTCACGCTTCTCTCATACACATTACGACGTCAGTGGTATTTGGTTTTCAGTGTATACCATCAGCTCCTATACTATAGGCAATTACTTTTATTTAAACGTAAAGTGATTCACGAGTTACACGACTCATCATGTACTTTTATAACAGGAAATGTAAACAATAAACATGATAAATGTAGTTCGGGACACTAGCTACAAACAGGGCCTGATGATATTTGTATCAGGAAAATTTTTAAATCTTGAGAATATAAACTGATCGATAAATTGGTTGTTTATTTATCTTAGGAAGCATTCATGGGTCAAACATCGCGGCTGTTGCATCAGCAGCATGCGTGACCTTTGAAATTCGAAAAATAAACAGAAAAAAATCAATGGCATAACCTCAAAAAGGAAAAACAAACCACTACCACTACTGCACATGCGCCTTTGCCTATCCCAAATATTTCAGGAAAATTGTTACATAAACGGCTACGAGAAAAGTTTAATTATGGAAATAATACGTCACGCGTTTGCCGGATGTCGCTCATATCCCGTATTGTTCAGACTGAATAGGCTATCATCCAAAGGTTACCAAAAGCCTGATAATAATTTGCAGGGGGTCTTTGTTTACATATTTTTCTGAATCAACGTACCTCGAACTGCCAGTGGGCCGACTGCAATATCTGTTTGGCCTGCTCGTGAGCACAACCTGCAGCCAAAACGAATTGGTTTATCATCACTTGCTCGCGTAAAGGAGCATCCATCGTGAAAATAGATACACCGACACTAGATTACCGCGATTTTCTATTTTACTGCGGTCGTTCTTCACTATTGTGGACTTCTGATGATAACAAACAACTATTAATAATCCCTAAAGACACAAATACAAACAAATACCTACGGCCTTGAAAGTATTTTCAACGTCATTACATTACTTGCGTACGGTGTTGTACGAATGGAAACAATGCGACGTTGCCGATGTCATTACCGCGACGTCATTTTGGATTTTCTTGAATAAAATGATACTTTCAGAGAAGTTATAATGATGCAAGCTTTCCCAAACCTTCATCAACAGTTTTAAACCAAGTACTATCAGTAATATGAAGTAAAATTACGTACAAATGTTTTCATGAATGAACTTCATGAAAGAACATCTGAATCCTTGCAACGCTGCATTAGGCAGCCTTCACATCTGCAACTTTCGAGTAATAGTATGTCTGGGACTTGAATACTGTCGCCACATTTAAGAAATGGTGCGTCGGTATTGTAAAAAACCTTCTTTGCTTTCACTATACACTTCTCATTCAATAAATGAGGATAGTATTGCAGCATGGATTTTTTCATTTTGATATTACACTCATTCCCATGTACCTCTATCCTGTATATCAACAAAAAGGACTATCAGAGTCGGCCAGTGTGTTGATGTTTTATTAGTTCGTAATTCCAGCAAAGCAACAGCTACACTGATTTGATGTTCAGCTATATTATTATTATTATTATATCGTACTTAAGCGACAGCATTTTTACAAACATACAAAGTGGCTCTCTATATATTTAGCATGTCTCAAATGATGTTATGGGATACATATACGAGGAGGTACCAAAAAATAACCGGAATAGCATTGCAGTGGGTGGAGCTTGTGTAGTACACATTTCTACCCCTACAGGCATACAGCGCAACTCATTGCCAGTTCAGTGCCACCTGATTTGTCGATCTGACTTGTTTCGTTCCTCTGTAGAGCTACAGCTGTTTCGTGCTTGTTTCGTTTTTTACGGTGGCAAGCTTCAGTGAGCAATGTGCAGCTGTGAAATCTTTCTTTGTAACCGGTAAAAATGTTGCTGAAACTGTTTTAATGTTGAAAATAGCTTACAAGATGTTGCTATGGGAAAAACTCAGGTGTACGAGTGGTTTGCTCGATTTAAAAATGGCGACATGTCGATTGATGACAAACCTCCCTCTGGACCATCAACTGCCCGAATTGAAATGTTGAAAAAAATTCAAGAGCTTATGCTATTGGAGGTTTTAAGGCGATTAGGAAACAGTGTTCGGCAAAAAAGGCCCGATTTGTGGCAGTCAGGAGACTGGTTCTTCCACCACGATAATGCACCTGCGCACACAGCCGTCTCTGTTCGACAGTTTCTGACTAAAAATGGCATGGTTCCGCTGCCTCACGCACCTTATTCGCCTGACCTGGCTCCGTGCGACTTTTTCTTATTTCCACGGATGAAAAGGGGCATGAAAGGACGCCGCTTTGACGACATTGAAGAGGTCAAGAAAAAACGAGGGAGGAGCTGTCAGACATTTCTAAGGAATACTTCAAAAAATGTTTCGAGCAGTGGAAGCACCGGTGGGACAAGTGTATTTAGTGGTAGTGGACAGTATTTTGAAGCAGATAAGGTTACTTTGTGGAAAAGTTGAAAATAAATAGATTTTAAAAAATAATTCCTGTTTTTTTTTTGCACCCCCTCGTAGATATATATATTTAGGCTTTAGGAATCTTCATTGATTTTTATGAATACCCAAATTTAAGACCACTAGAAAAATCGCATCATATAAATGTAGAAGCTTGTCCTCCCTCTCTTTCCTTGTCTAAGGAAGCAGACTTTACTGTCATTTTAACGTCATTTGTCATTTAAAGGACAAATACGTTATCGGTTTTTGTTACAATTCTGTGGTTCCTTGCCTGAGCTTGGCCCATGTCTGATGTTGTGTGACGATAACGCCTTTATTTTTCCGGAACATTTCTCGATAATTTACTAAAAATATCGACAAGAACATTATATACAGCATCAGGATTTACCCTGGTAAATAAGGTAAGGATCAACGACGGTACGCGGCAGCAATTAACGAGTTCTCTTTTATATTTCCCCAAAGATGTGTTTGTACAGTTCACTCGACAATTCGGTAAATAGTCACAGTTCGAGTAAAAAAAGTCGCGAGAGACTGATGTTCAGTAGTTTGTGTTGTGAGTTTCAGTCCAGTAAAAGTAATGTAAAGTTAATCAGTATGGGATAAAATGTATTTGGTGAAGAACAGTGCTTTTATGGTAGAGCAGCCTGACACGGTCCGAAGGTAAGATAGCAATAAGCGGCTCGAGAATTCACACTGATGAGATGTCCCTTTGCAAATTGCAAGTAAATCCTGCTCCTTAACAAGAATGTTTCATAATATTTTCTTTTCTGTAACTTTTTCTAGCTGCCATGGAATCCGAAGACTCCAGAGATGATTCCTCTGGATCTGAAAGTAATGATGAGGGGCCTAACAGCCCTGATAGTGGAAAATCTGACTATGATGCTGATGATGGAAAATCGGACAAGAGTAGATCTAGGTCTGGATCATCATCATCAAGCAGACCTGTTTCAGCTCAATCTCATAGATCATCAGAGAGTTCCCCAGAGGGGAAAAAATACGGTAGAAATAATATAAAGTCCCCAGGTTCTGAAAGGAGTAGGTCTACCAGTTCAGAAAAATCTGGCCAAAGTAGATCCAGTTCACCTGAACAAAAAGATGAAGCGGCATCCAGTACAGAAGAGGAGAACAAGCTACCTAGAAAATCAAGAGCTGAGGAAAGAAGTAGGTCTAGTTCTGTTGAAGATGATAATGCTAGAAGCAGATCTAGCTCTCCAGAAGTAGAAGAGAGTCAAGTGAAACATGGTTCCATAGTAAAACAACAAAGCAGATTAAGCTCATTAGAAGATAAAGTTCAGGATTCCAAAAGTAGTAAGGTTATGAAAGAAGGTAAAGCAACCATAAAAGATGAACAAACTACTGGATCAGTTTATTTAGAAGATCAGCTGCAAAGCAGATCCGCCTTTGAAGAAGCAGAATCAAAAGTTACACAAAAAACTGTTGAACATTCTAGCTTGAGCCCAGAAGTAAGAAAAAGCACTAGAAGTAGATCAAGCTCTATTGAAAATGAGAATGTTCATTCATCATCAGGATCTTCAGATAAATTGAAGACTCGAAGTAGATCTAGTTCTATAGAGAAGGAATCATTAAAAAACACACCAAATGAGAAACTGCATGGTAGATCAAACTCTTTTGAAAAAGAAAAGATTAGAAGTGGACCCAGCTCTCTGGATAAAAATGACAGATCAAGTGATAGAGAAATAAGAAGTAGGTCAAGCTCTTTGGATAAGCAAGAATATCAGTCAAACCCTGTAGAAATTAATGACATCCCAAGAAAATCAAACTCTGATGAAACTGTTGCTATCTTTGATAGACCTGTACCAGTTGAAAAAAAGAATATCAAAATCACACTTCTCAACAACATAGAAGTTGGCAGACCACAATCTCCCCCAAATGATTCCCCACATAGTCCACCATATCCAGATAGGGAGCAAATTCGATCCCCTGATCCACCAAAATCACCAGATGAGTCTCATTCTTCAAGAAGTAGTTCACCAGATCACCACTCTGGTCAGAAATATAGATCTTTCAAGTCAGGGGGTGACTACAGAAAATGTAGGGGATCTCGTAGATCTGGGGGTTCAAGAGGTAGAAGCAAGTCATCATCATCTGATTCTAGCAATAGCAGTGTTGATTCTTCCAGTAGGAAGAATAAGAATTTCGGAAAAAATGCTGATACCATGCCTGAAGCCATATCTGATGGTAAGTTTATGGATATACTTTTTAGTTGTGGTATTTAGAAATTAAAATTAAGTTTGTCCAACTCTTTTGCTGAGTTCACACAAGATTACAATTCCCAAGATAGAATCAGCTAGTGAGTTTTGTTACATAGTTTCATAAATATAAAAGATCTGAAAGGATATCACATGTTGCAGCTAGCTATAAAAGGCTCCTTGTCTATCTAATTTCATAGTATTCTATGTAGTATTTCTTATTTCTTACAGTATTTGCCTTAGGAAATTGAGATATATTATAACAATTTTTGAAAGTGCAAGATGGATATATATAGATCCAATTTTAAAAAAATATTTATATACAGGGAAAACCAAATTTATCTGATGGCTGTTACATTTTGCTACAGCGAGTGGTCGGAAAATGTAACAAATACCATTATGCAATACAAATTATCACTGCCTGCGTGTACACATGTGAAGACCATTTTCGATGCAAGATGACACTCGCCAGTGAGCACTAGATGGGTACCAATGAAAATCTCTCATCTATGATTATGGAGGTGGAAACCTTGCCTTGAAATGTACGAGATGCGGTGTTGCCAAGCGTACCAATGACGCAATGTTGCAGAATTTGCGGCGAAGCTGACCTTTCATTTCATCCTAAAATGGAGCCCCGTTAGGTCCGACTCGGAATCAATCTTAAACAGATTCGACACAATTCAAAAATGTGTACGCTCAAAATAATACTATTATTTGGGCGTATAGGTTGAACTAACGCACATTTTCAACAGTGATCTTAATTCAAGGAGCTGGTGTAACATGTTGGCAATGCGGCAGATTGCCGCGTCAGCGTTTGCTAAGCAGCGCGGTGATGAGTTTCGCTATCCAGCTGGCTTGTATCGCTTTCTAACATATGTGTCTATACACACTTCTCTTTTGTACAAATTGAACTCAAGCCACCAGACAAATTTGATTCTCAGTGTATATATTTTTCATTTTTAATACGAAATGGTGAGAAGAGTATGAAGTTTGAGTCGCGGCCGACCGCTATCACGTGTCAAATCTACAAATATTTATCCAATTCTTAAGGGGAAATGTATGTTGTGTGAAACATGTATTGATAAGTGCGTACAATTAATGGGTTTGAAGTGTATAAATATACTGCTCCCTCCCCCATCCACTACAACCCCCAACTCCCCAACCTCTAGCAGTAGGCGTGGTAAGTAAAAAAAAAGGTCTGGAAAAATATTCTATTAGTTTTTTCAGTCTAATAGATCAAATAACTATTTAAGACCTACTTAAAAAAGTGTCAACTAGCCTATTGTCAGTGACAAGTGATAGATTATTGTCACTTTTTTATAGCTAATTGCCAATTCTAGTTCTTTGCAACTTTAAACTAACAACTGTATTTGTAACTGACAATTATAGCTAATTGCATCATTAACTGACAATTATAGCCATCATGTAGCTGACAAGCATAGTTTATTGAAACTTATGAGAGTTATAGTCTATTACCAATTCTGGCTATTTGCAACTTTTAACTAATAATTATAGCTAATTACAAATTATAATTGACAATTATTGCTACTTGGAACTTGTGAGCGAAGGTTATACCTAATTGCTAGTTCTAGCTATTTGCAACTTGTAATTGGACAATTACAGGTAATCAAAAATTGCAACTGACAGTGATAGCTAATTGCAAACTGTAACTGATAATTAAAGCTAATTGTGCATTGTAACTGATAATTTATCGGGAGTTATAGGTGATGTCAATTCGACCTATTTGAGACTTGGATGTTTTTATTGCTTATTATGCAACTGAGAAACAGTCTTCTAATACTTCAATTTACTTCTCTTCCTATAATTTTGAAACTCCTTTACATTATAATTGCATATTACTTAGCACTTTATTTGGTAACACAATTAAGCTTTGTGAACTGAAGAGATAAATTTTCTCAAAACCTTAGTTTTTGAAATACTTTTTTTTATAAATTGGACCATAGGTGACATGGAAATTGAACAAGAAAAAGATACTGCCAAAGGTAAAGAAAAAACTGGACAACCGAAATCTGGCAATGAAATCAACATTTCACATGAAGACCTTTCTGATGTATCTGACTTAGAGGACTCTATGGGGGCCCATTTTGATCAAGAAGATAGCAGGGATAAACACAAAAGAGATAATAATGAAGGAAGGCAGTACCACCATATAGATGACAAACCTAACAGCAAGAGTCCTGTTAACCAAGACGGTTTAGCAAAGAAAGTGGATTCAAACTCAAGACAAGATGAAGCTGAAGAGCAACTGGATTTTGAAGCTGAAGATGGAGAATGTGGAGAGACAGATGTAAGTTTAACCTCATATTATTTATCTTGAATATCATCATCAATTATAGATTCCAAATGTTCAGTTCAGCATATAATGAAGCATTGGACCAAGGTTTGAAGGTTTTTAAAACATTTAGTGCTAAGATTGTGCATTTGTCTTTTGAAATGCCTTCTAAATAGAAAAAAATAGCTGCAAGGACCAATTTTATTCCATATCTTGTACATCTCATATGTTTTGTTTTTTCGAATTAAAATTGATTTTCTTTTTTTAAGAATAAAGATGAAGCTGAGGAGAGAGCAGCAAAAGAAGCTGAAGAAAAACGAAAGGAAGAGGAAGAAAGGAAGAAAAAAGAGAGGGAAGACTTGGAGGAGGGTGAAGTGACCGATGAGGATGATGTCAGACCTGAGGAAACTGAACCAAGACCAGTTTGCAGGTTTTTCTCTAGAGGGCAGTGTACTTGGGGGGCCAGTTGCAGGTTCTTGCATCCTGGTGTTACTGATAAAGGTAAATATCACTACCTTTAGCATGGATGAACATTCCACCAGAAGGTAGCCACTCCATTGGAGCAGTTTCATAATATTCAGTATCAAATAAGTAATAACATACCAACAAACAAACTATAGATGAAATATAATTAAGCAATGAAAACATCATTGAAATTGGTCAATAAGTGACAGAGAAATTAATGATTGAAGTTGGTGTATCCTAAGACGAAATAATTGCAACCATCCAGAATTAAGTGGGAGGTTCATAGGTGATCTTACCTTGGAAGGTTGTTGCTATTTTCAAGAAAAAATCTTTAAAAGGAAAATAGAGTCTAATTTGTTGGTTCTAGGAAATTTACTGTGATTTTGACCCTACTTAGCAAAATGGATGAGTTTATGATTGTATTTAGACTATACAAATACAGTGCAGATTTGGGCATCTAGTCATTATGCCAAAAGATACAACATTGGACATATTAACGTTTCTGAAGCACATTAAAACCATACTGACGTTCTGAATCACAACAAATGACATGTCATTTCTTCCAAAAGGTAACTACACAATGTTTGACCTGGTTCGTCCACTGATGCCAGGCGAATTCAGAGACGATAGAATGTACGTAGGTGCTAAAATAGAGCCTCCTGTTGTTGAGTCTGCTTGGGAGAGGGGTCTTCGGACGGCCAAAGAAATGGTCAGGAAGTCCCTAAAGAGAAAGGAGCAAGACATGGACTTTGAAGAGAAGAAAATGAATTTGAGCCTAGCACAAGAGGAATTTGATAAGGAAAATGGGTATTATGGTAGAGTACCATCGCCAGAACCAAGGTAAGCCTGTAGGAAAAAGTTTGTGTTTTTCTAACAAATCGTCGATGTGCTTAGTTTTGATATGATGATCCAATCATTCTATCCACAATTTAATGACTCGAAATAAATTAGAGGAAAGTTTGGTTATGTCTAAATTGCTTTACTGTTTCATCCTATTTTACCCTTGGCTTGATTCCATAACAAGGACCAGATTGCAGAAAATTCAAAACTGTTGCTGGCGTTTTGTTTTCGGTCTTCATAGGTACAGCCGTGTAACATCTATGATTTGTGCGTTGGGGCGACTGAAGCTCAGAAGCTCAAAAACTGTATTGACTTTTTAATGTTAGTTGTTATACACAAAATAATCATCACCAAGAGACCTATGTACCTAGTTTCTTGAAGAAATCTAATTACAAAAAGATTACACCAGTTCAATATTCCTCTTTACAGTACTTCATTGTATCAAAGATCTTTTACATACAATGCCATTCAGTTATACAATACACTCAGTATGTGAAACAAACAAAAAAGTTATCCTGCTATTAAAAAAGCAGTTAGAAAACAGCTGTTAGAGATGCAATATATATATATACGAGCAGTAGTCAATTGCCATTGCAAACGACCAGGTGGGCAGAAAATACAACCAATTGTTAATTGGGAAATTGGCAAAAATTGTTTAGGCTTTAGTCAACTCTTTTAACAGTATTAACAAATATGAAGTTAGCAACCAATACAGGAAGGGTTTAAATTATCAGACATTCCTTCGCGACAATCACCTGTCATCTGTCGACGCATCACTCTTCCGGTTTGCTCATTTTCTCCACGTGAAACATGTAGGAGGTTAGAAGGGAGGATTTTCCCCCAAAATTGCTTTTCGATAATTTTTAATGTGTTCGGGTATATTGATATATAGTTTTAACACCTAACCATGGTTTCCGTCATTATCAATAAACCCAATGTGTCCGTCCGTTTGGTTTTATATTTGTAACAAGTGCTCTCATCCACGCGTTCGTTTTGAAACACCATTTGGCTGCAACCTCAGCGACGAGTAAGTTGTTTGATAATTTAAATCCTTCCCGTAATGGTTGCTAGCAGCATATTTGCATTTTCAGCTCCTGAAGATGGCTCCATAGTGTCGCCGAAAGCTCGACATTACCGTTAAAACAGTTTACTAAAGATTAAAAAAAATTTGCCAATTTCCATATATATATATAGGGTTGGCCATATTCGACGAAAATATGTGGCAACAATGTAACTTTTGACAGAGATGATAGATCGAGTAATGACGTAGCGCATTTGAAGCATCAGTCTAAGGAGATTTTTGCAATTGAGCAGTACACTCCACGCGAACGCTCTCAGATTGTTGAAATTTACATTCCACAAAACAAGTCAATTGTGAAAACTCAGCGACCAAAGCGATCTGATGAAAATATCGCACTCATACGGACCAGTGTTCAGACGTCTCCAACAACATCTCAAACACGTCGATATGAGCAGTTGGGCATAAAACGAACCACTTTACGTCACATATTGCGTCATGATTTGCATTTGTTCCCATACAAAATTCAACTGACGCAAAACCTGTTACCTGCCGATAAGACACGTCGAATGGAATGTGCCCAAAGAGTCATCGAAATGGCTGAAAGAGACGATCATTTTTGGCAAAAAATCATCATGAGCGATGGTGCGGTATTTGTGCTGGTATGGTCATTGGGCCCTTATTTTTCGAAGATGAAGCTGGCAAAGCGGTTACCGTCAATCAGGAGCGTTATATATGATATGGTAACAGATTTTTTTGATGACAATTGTTCGTGACAATGGTATGGAGCATTTCTGGTTTTAACAAGATGGCACTCCACCACATACAGCTCGAGCTATCGATGTTTTGAAACGATTGTTCCCTGGACGTCTGATGTCGAAAAATGGTGATTTTGACTGGCCACCGCGTTGACCAGGTTTAACTGCTCTAGACTTCTTTTTGTGGGGCTTCTTGAAATCGAAGGTTTATGTCAACAAGCCGATGACCCTAGACGCACTTAAGGCCAACATCCGACAGGAAATAGCCGCCATATCAACCGAAGCATCGGCCAAAACGATGGAAAATGCTGCATCACGGGCACTTTTCGCTGTACAGGCTCATGGCGGTCATTTAAGAGATATCGTGTTTAAAAAATGGTGTTCACAAATCTCCTTGAACCCAAATAAACGATTTTTGAAATGAACAGTAAAAAATGTGTTTTTCCTATGATTTAAAAAAAACATCTTTTCGTCGAATATGGCCAACGCTGTATAGTATAGTTCTTTTGTTTTAATGGTCAAGTTGGGAAACGTATCGGATTTCGCTCTGCCGTGGACCCCCTTCTGCTGTGGGTCCAGGAGCCATTACACCACTTAAGACAAACTTGTACTGTAATAATTATGTATTCAGGAACCATTGTCTTCTAACCTAATCATTTTTCCAGATACGTCCGCCATGTGGAGTACCCGCCGATGACCCGCCCGCCGCCTCCAGACGACTACTATGCCCCCGTAGTGATGCCACCCCGTCGCCACGTGATGTACGAACCCGAGTACATGGGACGCGAACGACCTTCAAGGGGGCCGTACAGAGAACCTCCAGTGGCTGCGCCGCCCCCGCATCGTGGGGCGCCGCCCTCGCATCACACGTCTCACCATCCCCCTGATTATTATGCGGATGAAGGAAGGGGTTCGGAGTCGATTAGAGAGAAGAGAGAAAGACCGCCACCTGTCGGCCATCCAGGGCTGCCAGGGGAGAGGAGCAGTAGGGCGCATGCGCCTGTACCTGAGGGCAGGTCCAAGAGAGAGGTAAAAAATGTGATTATTTCAAGTTTTCAGCAAGCACTATTCACAGACTAAAGGATGGTAGAGCTGCAGGACATGTTGTGCCAAACCAGGACCAGAAGTATCGCTCTTTAGATTAAAAGCAATATGTTATCAAAAGGCTTCGATAAATTATGTTCTATGTCAAAAGTCAGTTCGTTTGTGCGAACGCTTTAATAATGATAGTTACATGATCAAACGAACTTACCTGTGAGCGATGTTCGATCTTAATTATGTGAAGACCTCTTCGAAGTAAATAAAACAGGTGTAGTCCTCCGTTTCCTGGCGAAACCCAGGAGTTCAAAGCGCGCACGCAGCGAAGTAAAGCGACAACCTCTCCGGCCCCTGGCCTACAAACTCATTTTCTTCAAAACCAAGTTATTGCAACAATTGGATGACAGGCAGGAAGAGAGGGGGCTATTTACTTCGACGAGGTCACCAGCAACTCCTCTAGATGGTTGATAACAACGACAAGTGAGGCTATATTTCGGTTGAGATGGTCTCAACCTGTAAACGCCATAACTAACATTTTGGGTAAAATACATAGGTGACTTATAGCAGACATATATTTCTTCCCAATATGATGGATTGTAGATGCTGATCGGAATGCTAGCTTTTCAGGGTCGACAACCAGGGTAAGCTTCAGAATAAGTGATAGCAGGGTCCTGCGTCCCTCCACCAGGATACAAAGGCTTCACACTTTGCATTACGTCTAGAAGCGAAATTTCGGGGACACCGAACACATGAATCAATATCAGTCACAGGTGTAGCTCCCACTCTGTTTCCACGACCCACTGTCGCCAAAGCTCGTCTGTGTCAGTATTACTTCTAGATTTTATATTTGACGTGAGGGCAGTAATATTTCTCTCTTTCCACAACTGCCATGGCTCTCCGTAAACCTGGTCCAGCTGTGTAAACTGGAAGCTGCCAATTTTATTGATGTAGGATATAATTCTCGGATTATCAATTGGGTATAATATTCGAAAGTCCCTCAAGTCATAACATTCCCGACCGAAGAAAACTGCCAGTAGTTCCAGATGATTGGCATCCAAGATCTTCTCCTCTAGTGACCAAGACCAAGACTTTTGTCCTGCCCAGAGAATGTCCCAGCCCGAGAAATTCTACAACTGAGAATTGGATGATTCAATATCGCTGACCGCATCTGCCATACATACTGCTGGTATGCATCTGGATGTTGGTTGCTGTCCATTATTGCCCTTACTGAGCTTAGTAATGTCTGCCTCTTCCACTCAAGTAAAGATACTTCCTTTCTGTCGCAATCGAATCCTGGCCTAATAGCGCCCAGTTTTGAGTGGAGGTCAATCAGCTTTTTTGTAATTGATTGAAAAAAAGGGGTGTTAACCGTTACCCGGATATTATCCTGGCAGTCTCTCAGCTTATACCGAACAGAAGGAAATACAGACAAAATGTCTTTTTCCTTCAGGTTTTATTAAATTTGTGAACACATGAGGGCACAATCTACCCCAAATGGCACGGCATTTTATTGGAAGAGCTATCCCTTGAATATTAGTCTGAAATATATGCTATGACTCTTCCTGATGGGTACCAAGTCGCCGCATCATCGTGCTTATGCGTCATTTATTGAATCAGAATACTTGGGCTTTATAACATCAGAATCCACAGCCCCTGCTGCTCGACTGCTACCTATGCAAAATATAACGCTAATCGGGCATAAAAGTACCTAATCTCCGTTATTACTGATAATTAGTACTTCTAACGCAAGCAGTGATAATTTGTATTGCGTAACGTTATGTATGACAGTTTTCGACGCCAGTGGTGGGCTGGTGGGGTAGTCAGGCCGACCCTGGACCGTATAAGTAGAGCTGACTCTCCTGGTAACACGGTGCATCAGCATGAACAGTGCGTCATCGAGTGGTTGCACGGACTACTCAAGTCGTGATAATTATATAGCGTGATTTAAACTTAGCAACGTTTTAATTCAACATATTTCAGTATAACAAAGCGGTTCGGAATGCCAAAAACCAGCACTATATAAACATGAGGCACAGGGTAATGTCGCAGCGCAATGGCAGGCGGTCTTTCTGGACGCTGGCCAAACAGATGAAAGGAACTTCTCAGAGTGCCTTCTACCTCTTACGTGCCAGGATGGAACAAATGTAACCGACTGAAAGGCTAAGGTGGAAGTGCTTCCCAAGATCTTTTCTCCCGATTCGATAATTTGCGTGCGAAGTAAAGAGATAATAATTAATTCACAAAGGGTTGATTCGATAATGTCGGGGATTTTTTGAATTCCAATCGATACTTGATCACAATAAGGATAGATATCCTGGATAAATCAATCAAAATTGCCTACATCAAGATCATTTTAAAATTACTTTTGACTTTCAGGTAATCGTACAAAGGGCTGAGGAAGTAAGAGGAAGGGGTGACGAATGGCAGGACCCGTGGATGAGACTCAAATCTCCAGCAGGCAGAAGAAATAAAGAAAGGAAGCGATCTTACAGCTCAGGGTCTAGTTATTCTTCAAGCAGGTATGTACGGAGATGGCCCTTTGAAAGCTCGCGAGACCACTTAAAAACGCAAACTTTCGATATTCTAAGTGTGTACACCATACAATTCTTATCTAATAATACTATAGTATGACGAAAATCGTTTCCAATCAATTGAGAAAAATAGTCCTATTTCAAATTCCTAAATAACTTGCTAATATGATTGACTGTCGCCCTGGCTAGCACTCTTCAAAGCTCTTTCATACTAAATCCCAATGCTTTTCTTAGATTGAATGTTTCCCACTATTTTGTCCAACAATTTTTGTTTGTTTGTTGAAGATTTATTTAGCAGTAATGCTACAATGTCAATTTTGTATAATTATTCATTAACACATTTTTTTGTATGAATTTTCTGTAATTTTACATTCTTGTCTATTAAAATTACATCACTATGCATGTTAAGTACTCATAAAGTGTCTTTTTAATTTCACCTTAAACATTTTTAAATTCGAACACTATTTAATGTCATTATTCAATTTATTAATTTCAAATACTCCCTGTTGAAATACACATTTGCTAGTTATGCTACTATCACAATTGATGTAAATCTATACTGCCTGTAGTTTCGTAGTTATGATAGCTATTTAACTTTGTGTAATAAATGATTTTTTAATTTGAATACGAAAATTGAGAATAAAATATGAAATTTTTTACATTTAACCACTGTAGTTCTTCTGACATAGACTTAATCCTAACATATGTGTTTTTATTTAAAATGATTCTCATATAGCTTTATTTTGTAGAATTTGTAATTATGAAAAAAAAATTCAATTTGCTGAACAATATAAAAAATTAGGAAGAATTATAGTGTTATGCACAATGTTTTTGAAATACTTACTGAGATTATGGGAAACTCTATAGAAATAATTTGTCTTTTTTGATATCTTTGATATAATATATTCATAATGCTCTTGAAACAGTACTATACTATCCACACATACCTATACCCAGATATGTTAATAATTCGACAACCTCATTTTTTTCATCATTAATCATACGCCTAATTGTATTGCCGCCTATGTTTCCCGATTGACATAAATTTTGTTTAGTATTAAATTTAGGTTTATTAACATTTAACCAATTCAAAATTTTTTTAATTTCACAATTTAACAGTTCTAAAGCAGTGTTCAAATGTTTATGTGCTATATATATATATATATATATATATATATATATACGCGAGTAGTAAAATTACAATTAAATTGTTTATTGGGAAATTGGCAATGCTTAAAGCTTAGTAAACGCTTTTGACGGTAATCCCGAGCTTTCGACAAACTATGTTGTCATCTTCTGGAGTCGTCGGTGAGGTTGCAGCTAAATGGTGTTTTAAAACGAAAGCGTGGACGAGAACACTTGTTGCAATTATAAAACCAAAAGCCCGGACACATTGGACTTGTTGCTAACGACGGAACACAGATAGCTGGGTGTTACAACCATATAACAATAAACTCGAACCAATTAAAAATTGTATGACATACTCAAGTTGTTGAAAACTAACACTTTTAGGGATGAGATCAAATATACGATGTTAGAGAAGAGAATTTGCGGTTTCCTCAAAATGTGGTTAGTTTTTAATAACTTGAGTATGTTGTACAATTTTTAGCAACAAGCCCAATGTGTCCGGTCTTTTGGTTTTATAATTGCAACAAGTGTTCTCGTCCACGCTTTCGTTTTAAAATACCATTCAGCTGCAACCTCACCGACGACTCCTGAAGATGATAACGTAGTTGCTCGAGATTACCGTCAAAAGAGCAGCATTAAGTTTTGCCAGTTTCCCAATAAACAATTTAATTGTACATACAGGGCGTAAAGTTAGTAGTGGATCAACGGAAGTCAGGTGATAGAGGGCATCAAAACCTATTGAATGAACCCTTATATGTGTGGTCCGAAATTTTATAGTTCAGGAGATATTTGCAATTTTGTGAAATTAGGAAAAAAAACGGGATAATGAACTTTCAATCGCAATAATAACTAAACCATTAGGTTTAGGGCTGTGATTTTTTTTCTGAGATGAGCTAAATGGTTGTTTTTAGCAATGGTTATGTCACTTTTTAACAGAACTTATTAGAAATCAACGCAAAAAATCTTAAATTCATTTTTTTGTGACAAATCTTTTCCATCCCTCAACTTTGGAGAGTAGGTAAAAAATGAGGTTGTATTTCATTATTCATTTTATTATAAAAACTATTTCACAACATGTAGAATAAACCCTGAAAATTTCAGCTTGCTACGATGAGTGTATCATGTCACATTGTTATGATGCGATAAACGTAAGAAACGCAATAGAATCCTTACCACCTACAAGTACAGAACCTATTGTGTTTAGCCGCTCTTTATGGCAATTTACCGACAAATGTGGAAGATAATTTAATTTGACTAACTTTTAAAGAACATGTTCGAAATGGCCTCCATTATTTTCTATACACAAGCGACACCTTCTAATAAAATTGTCCTTCAGTGAATTTGCGTTTTCCATAATTTTTATTTTTTTGTATATTCATATGTACAGATTATCCCCCTATAAAACCCCCATATAAAAAATCTAGAGGATTTTAATCGGATGACCTCGGAGGCCATCGTATGTGTTCACCTCTACCTATCCAACGCCCAGGAAAGGCACTGTCTAAGTAATGCCGTAAATCCCGTGCAACGTGGCATGGGGCACCATCGCATTGAAAATACATGCGGCTTAGAACGTAAAAAGGTACATCCTCTAGCAGCTCATGCAAACAGCTTTGTAGAAAAGCAAGATATGACTGACCAGTTCATATGGTCCAATTATTTTTTTGTTGAGTACTCCAGCCCATGAATTAACGCCGAACTGGCGTTGAAAGCTGTGTCGGCAATAGCGTGTGGATTTTCCACACTCCATGAATGGAAATTGTGCAAGTTGAATATTCCATTTCGGTTAAAGTTGGATTCATCTGTCCATAAGATGCTGTGAAAAAAGTTTCATCCTCCGCACCTTCTCAACATTCAATTCAACCCGTTGTGCATAGTCGCTTGGAAACAATTCTCGTACTTTTTGTACGGGACCTCGGTTGGCCGCGTGGGTCAGAGTGTCGGTCTCCTGATCAGCCGCCGTGCGCTGTGCGGGTTCGAGTCCCGTCCCAGGAGAAATGTTTCTCTTGGCCATGGATGTTGTGATTGTCCGTAGGTGGTAGATGGTCTCTGACTGTCGAACGCGGAGGTACCACCCGGCGGTTCTCGTAGGCGGAGCCAGAATGTGTGCATGTTGCATGCACACGTGTTCCCTCGCCAGAGTCCGTGTGGCGTCCCCCCTTTCCCATGTATCCCCTATAGCCCCACGGTACCCAATGGGTGCTTAGGCCTTAGGCCTTCGTGGTAGTTGGAGTATAAAAAAAATAAAAAAAAAAAAAAAAAAAAATGTTAAGGATGCATGTTCTCCGAGCGTAGTATTGTGCGCACTGAAGTATGGGATGTGTTTCTGCAATGGGTCTGGTGCTTAAAGAGGGATCTCTCTCGGCTGCTTCTATTATATCATCTATTTTTTTTTTGGGGCGTATCCTCGGCGCTCCAAGCTGACCTTGAGTGCCTAGTATGCGGCCGTCCATATTCGCATTATGGACGGGTAGAAAAATGCGGTAGTCGGGATATACCGTCGGTTGTGGTCCACCTCTTCTAACCACAAACTCTCGATATATATATATATATATATATATATATATATATATATATATATATATATATATATATATGTATAGAAACTCGTATATTGAATATATTGTGTTACTTTACGTAGAAACCGAATAAATATTGTTTTATCATAAAGTGTATTTTTCGTCGTAGATAACCACCTGTTAAATAAAATTAATATTATTTACGACTTATTTCGAGTCCCTTCCTTTTTCATCCCACACCTGGTCCTTATTCTAATATTCTTATAATCAGAATGAGACGTGTCATCATCATCAACAATGGGTATTTGTGTACCTCATTTATAATTTCTTCCGTTTCCACCATACTAATGTAAAAAACACAGATTTTCTCAACAAATAGTAACTGCGTGCAGCGTCCTAACGTAACAAGCGCGAAATGATCGCCGACGCCACGTGCAGACGCTGCGGCCAATCAGAGGACGCATCGATGTGAACACGTCGCTAAAAGTTTGTACGCAATAACTGATCGCCACCATGCACGCCATCGCGAACGCGAGCTGAGCGCGTTGGTTTGGCCGAGCCTTCATGGAGTTCTGGCATTGCTGCTTAAAGTCAAATATGAGACTGAGTTCCTCGACTGCTCTTTTCGCTGCTCTAAAAAGAAAAGTTCCTTTACCCGCATGCTCGTGATCACGCACAAAGCGGATGTCAAAAGTGGCATTTCGTCATTTTTTTGACATTTCCTAGCTTTTTTCATTTTTTAGATTTTTCTACCAGATGTTGACTTAGCACAAGCTGTTGTACACCACTTGTGAACTCGTTTTATAGCTGTAAGTGTTGCGTAAACGTCAGCGAACAGCAATCGTAGCAAGCAAACGTGGAATGAACTATTTTGCACACTAAAAACTACCTAGTCTGCAAGATGACATTTCGTCAATTTTTTTTACGTTTTTTAGGTTATTTACATAATAGCCGTGTGGTACTCCTCACATCACAGGCAGTGCTCAGTACCGCTTTGTCATATAGACGCTCCAAACTCAATAGTCCCTTCCCTATCTTGAAAGGTATATACGTGGAACTGAGGTCTTAGGATGCAAGCTTCTATGTATGTATGTTCGTTTTTCGGGTTTTGGTGTCGATTTGTCGCAGCTCGTACACTGTCTAGTGGATGCATGGCCGCCAAAGTGTACAATAACATTGGTACCGCAACAATATTATTATTGTTAATCAGTGGTGTGATAGAGTTCGTGTCAGAAATTCGTAGTACAGAGCTAGCTGTGATTTTAGATGGTAATATATTTTCGCTCATTTTTTTCAGTTCATCGAGTCGCTCTTCAGATTCGAGCCACAGTTCATACAGGTCTAGGTCTCGAACACCACGTCGTCGTCACAGGTCAAGATCAAGACGCAGCAGACACGTGTCGCCATCTGTGATAGTTTCCGAAAGGAAGGCGGCCAATGAGCGAGCGGCACTCATGAATCCGCCGGCGCCTAAGAGGAGGGCGCCTTCGCCAAGTAAGTACCTCAAAATATTCTTAAATAATAATAATATTTATTCCAAGGGGATACACCCAATTAAAGGAACAATACTATTAGAACTAGTATTATAAAGGCACCAGAGATAAATGTATAAGTAAATACAAAAAAAAGAAAACAGAGACAAAATACAATAAAGCGTTAAATGTGGTTACAGAGTTACTATATACACCTAAAACACTCATAAGGAAGGTAGAATTTAGTAAAACATTATACATATACGGTTACATATGGTTACCTTATAAAAAACAAATAAAGAAAACGGATGAATTCCAATTACAGAACAGTTTAAGAATACTGTATTTAAAGCTCTTGTCTGGAACTGATTCTATCGCTGAGGTTGCATTTTGATACAATGGTGACCAGATTAATGAGGCATACTCTAGTTTAGCTATAATAAAAGAGGCATATACTGTTTTGAGACTTCTTATATCTGCAAAGCTCGACCAATTTCTAGTACAATATCCCAATACCTTATTTGACTTTGCAACCATTTCTCTTGTGTTCCACAAATGTGAGCCTACTATCAAAAATGACTCTTCAGTCTTTGAAGGACTAACATCTTGCTGTGTTAGTGCCGTTGATATGATACGAAAAATGTATGGGGTTGACCTTAACGAAAAGCTTGATGTTTTACATTTGCTTATGTTTATGTCGAGTTTGTTGCTCCCACACTAATTGCATAAGCTATTGAGATCTTGTTGCAGTGCAAAACAATCATTGTCATTTTTCATTTCACAGACTATTTTCAAATCACCAGCAAAGATTAGGTACATTTTATATAGTCGTAAAAATAATAATCAATATAGTTCCCATAGTAACAAGACTTTCCTTTAAAGTTAAAAACAAGTCTCCGAGTGATAAAGGAAAAACAAAATACAACTTACACTCACATTAAAGTAATAGTAAAAATTAATTTGCTATTAAGAGGTAGGTTAATGTGGTAATAAGTGCTGAAAGTGGTTTCCATTTACCTCCATGCGGTAATGAAAGATTCTCTTCGAATCTATTCCTCATATTTTCAAGCATGTCTTGAGTTATTTGACTACATTCAGCTGTAATCCGCTGACGAAGATCTTGAATGGAATCTGGCTTCGTACTAAAAACTTCCATGTTCAAGTACCCCCAAAGAAAGTAATCTAAAGGTTCCGAGATCTCGGCGGCCACTCTATGGGGTCTCCTCTGCCGATCCACTGATTCGGGGAATGAGTGTACAAAAACTGGCGTACTGGAGCAACATAGTGCAGTATTGCACCATCTTGTTGGAAATGAATGAAATTTTTATTATAATTAATGTCATTTTCTACTATTTCGTGGCTCAATTGTATTTTCTAACATGCCCAAGTACGTGTCGCCCGTCAAGTTTCCAGGAATAAAGAAAGGTTCTACGATATAATTTCCGAAAATGTCGGCCCACACATTTATTTTTTCGGGATATTGCGAACGTACCTCTCGAAACAAATGTTCATTCGAGTCACTCCAATATCGACAATTATGTCTATTTACAGCACCATGTAAATAGAAAGTACACACATCCGAGGAACAAATACAGTAGACTCTCAACTATCCTGCCTAAGGTGGCGGACAGCTAGTCCGGATAACGAAAAAGCCGGATAAGCCGAATCAATGTCCAAACATACGCAATTTTATTAAACGTATGTATTTTAACGCAGAACTTTGTACATATTAAGGCATGAGAAACTGCATAATTATCTATAGTACAGTATACAATACATACATAATAATATGTATATTAAATACGTTTTAATAATCTACATATATGTTACTTTTTAAAAAAGTCTTCTATTTTTACCTGCTTTGCCCTCTTTTTCGCTGACAAGTTCCTTCGCTTTCTTAAACTAATGATATCTGCTGGCGTCGCTTCCTCCTGTTCAATCATTTTTAGACCTTCAGAGTGTGGAATCCGATTGATTTGTTCGTCTTCACTATCTTCGGCGACGGTTTCGTTACTAACCACCATTGTAACAACATCATCGACGGTTATGTCGTCAGCTCCATCATTTTCTATCCAGTCTGTAACGTCCTCCAAATTCACGCTCTCACACGCCAGTCCACGAGTGCTTTGGGTGTTGTCAAGTGATACGTGTCCCAAAAACTGCTATTTCTGCAGCTCCTTTTCTAACTGGTCGATTTTCTCGATGGCGATTTCGGCGAATATTAGACACAGATCCAGTTTCTTCAAATTTTCTTATCAACTTAGCCACATAGTTATCGTTAATATTTTTGTCTGGATGTAACGCATCAAACAATCGGGCAGTACCTCTTACAATACCCCCACAGTTTTGTTATTTGATTTCGTTTTTTCATTTCTTTATTAGTTCTGTTAGACTATCATAAGATGACATAGAACACGTCAATGGAAATAATAGAGTAAAAAATATACAGAAAATAAATAATAATAGTAATAATAGCGTTTATTTGCAGTTAAAAAATTAGATAGAATACAAAACACTACAATAAGTACATAACACACATTAGTGTAAGACAGTCAAAATTGAACATTGAAATATGAAATAGACAAACATTTAACTAAAAACAAACATTGAAAAAAAATATATAAAGAAAATAGATAAAATTCAAAAAACCAATAACACTGCTAGGGATGATACTCAATACCAGACTAAACTGGACAGGCCGCTTAACAGATGCCTCGATAACCATACTTTGTACTTCAGCATGCTCATAGTCACATTACATATTGCACAATGCTCCGGGAAAGCTCAGTGTCTAGCAAAATTTTCATTCTACAAAAAACGGATTTGAGTATAATTAGTAATTCCAGCTATTGGTCAACATGCAGAAAGCACCTCAAAAATCTATAAAGATCAATTTATATTTCTATGCACAGAAATCTAAACAAATATCAGACCTTTGCAGAAATACACAAATATGCACTATGTAATGTAAATGACCCATACTAGTGACTGAATATGACTAAAAATAATAGACCTAACGTTAATTTATATAATTGATTCGTCAATGCAAATAAAGAACGTAATTTTGAAAATATGTCTAATCACTGCTTCTCAAAGTTTATTAAAAAAGCATTGCTTAACCAGTGCTTCTATTCAGTTGATGAATATGATTACTCAGATAGATTATAAAATTCTCACATGAAGATTGTGTATACATGATGTAGCCAATAAATGGTATTGTATTGTAAATACGAAGTGAATATTGAATAACATTTAAAAGAACCTCATCTAAGATTGTCCGAAGTCATCAATGCTCTAGGAGTTTCGTGCAAGAATCTTGATGTGGCGTAAGAAGAATTTGAAGTGATTCCTAAAAATGTGTCTAAGATTATCTTATATCTCTTCAGCACTGATGCGCGTGAGCACAGCAGCCAACCCGCCAGCGCCATCCCGTAGCGGTGGTAGCAAACTGGCGATGGCAGCGGCGTTGGCCAGAATGAAGAGTCGCGGTGTTGCCAGATCGTCGAGGTCATCCTCAGGCAGCTCAAGCAGTTCCAGCGATTCAGAAGATTCGTCGGATTCAAGCAGTTCTAGCAGCAGGGATGGTTCTCCCACGCCTCCGCCGCATCATGGGGCGTCTGGTATCAGGAGGCCACCAGGTAACAAAGCGAGTTGAAGAACTTACGCCTTTTTACTTCCTATGCCAAAACTGGCGAGGAAGTATTGTAATCACGAAAAATTTCATAAATGAGATATGTTTTTTGGATGTTAACATCACGAAAAATCATGTCACTCATTTCCGTCGGTCTGTATATTTTTCTGAATTTTATAATCCTTAAACCCATTTCGCCTAACTTTTAATTTGTGTTATTCCGTCTATGATGGTTCTCTGAATATTTTGTCAAGTAGATTCACTCAGTAGTTATGATGCACTGATATAGACACGGACTTAACAAACCGGCAATAAGAAACACAGACATGTGTGGTGCAGATATCTTTAAGCAACAGAAACGTTGTGAGCCGAAGTTCGAATATTGTCTCGAGTTTAATACTACCATCGTTTAGGTAGTCGTGATACGACGGTTCAGAGATTCCTGCTCATTTTCAGTATGCAGTTAATGGTTGTAAAGTGTTGCATGTTTGGTGTCAGTCAAAAACCTTCAATTATTGAGAATCTGCGGATCTCAGTGATACTATGCACATGTTAAACATAATAAGGCAGGCATATTTTCTCCAAATCTGCCATGGAAACAGAAATATAATATGTCTGCTAATCACGATCCGATTTCGCCTTTTGAAACGATTTACCTCATCCCTTTTCTTTGAAACCACCAACGAAGGCGTAGGAAGCATAAACTCAATCTACTTGATGACTTATTAACAAATAGAGCAGTGCTGGTATTATCGTTCTTCTTGGTCGCACGCTAAGCGTTTTTGTAAATCAATTCCAACTTAAAACTACCACTGTCTCGGTTTTATTATATTATATAGGGGTGTCTGCGAAAGGTTGGGAAATTTCGAAACTGGAGATACTACAGACCAAAATATGTGAATTGAACTAAACATACCTGAGTCCAAAAGTTGATAGTTTTGCGAGGTACGTTAGATAAGTTACAATTTTATTTTCTATTTTTACTTATTGCCTGAGAAGTATTCCAGATTTTGGCATAAAAGAATCCGTTATTTTTGATGCCCAAACTTCTAGAGGGCGCCACTTACAGCACTATTTCGGTAAATAACTTATCATAACTTTTTTGTGCTATCCTGTATACATCAACTGCCCGAAAAATCTTATTTTCTAGTAAATCCACAACAAAAAAGGTTTACTTGTTAGAAGTGTCTAAAGCTAATAGTTTTCGAGATATTTGCTTTTAAAGGTTCCAATGCAATTATGTCTACCATGATGATAAAACATTTTTATAACATAATAATCAAGTTGCTTTGAATAATATCTGAGTAGCGTTGCTATGGTTTCTAATGTTTGTCATAAATAAACTTCATGAATAATTTTAAGTTGACAATATGATGTTAAACATCATGGAGTATACGTTTGTTGAATATTCTGATATGCATTTAATGTACGGGTTGGCAAGATGTAATGCTTTAAAAGCACGAAGATTGTACGCTGACAAGAATAAATAAATAAGAAATGATTATAGCCTTATTTTGAGAAGTAAAAAACATTTGGATTTCAGGTAGTTTTGCTCAAAATATGGGCCGAAATAGTGGAGCTGCCCAGAACTGTACGTGCAGTGGAAGTTGAAGAAAATGTTTTAGATGCTGTCTTTGAAAATCCTACAGTTGGGGTTAGGAATGTAGCTCGAGAATTTCAAGTTTCCAAATGTACCGTAAATACCATTTTTCAAGAGCAACTGCTCCATCCATACTACCACCAAAAAGTACATGGTTTAAGCGCGGATGATGAACCCGCAAGGGTAGAATTTGGTACATGGCTCTTAAGGAAGTTTAACCACGACGATGGTTTTACTTCGTTAATATTATTTTTGGACGAAGCCGGATTTGGAAGGGATGGGCCCATGAACTCGCATAATCTTCACATTTATGCAGACGAAAATCCTCGTGCAATAATACAAACCCGCCACTAAGTACAATTTCAAATTAATTTATGGGCAGGAATTATTGGACAATATTTAATAGGACCCGTTGAGTTACCACATAGACTAAATGGCCAATTTCCTGAATAACAATCTCCCACTCAGCTGGAAGATCTTTTTCAAACACGCATAAATATGTGGTTTGTGCACGACGGCGCTCCACCTCATTTCAGTATATTAATTAGAGAGCACCTAAATAGAGTTTATCCAGACCAGTGGATAGGCCGATCAGGCTAGATCACCAGATTTAAATTCTATGGATTTCTTCTGGGGTAATTCAGAACGACGCGTTTACAATCCGCCAGTGGAAACTGTAGATGATCTTCGACAAATAATTTTCTAGCCTGGAAATGAAAAATAACATCCAAATGCTTTGGAGAGTGAAGCAAGGATTAGTTCGTCGAGCTCGAGAGTGTGTGTTAGGCAAGGTGGTGCTCATTTTGAACAATTTTTGTAATTATTATTTCCGTTTATTTCCGTTTTGTTGCCATCCTCATTTGTTATTATTAAAAACCATAGCAACGCTACTCAGATATTATCCAAACCAACTTGATTGTGTTATAAACAGGTAAAAATAATGCATTGGAACTTTTAAAAACAAATATCTCGAAAACTATTAACTTTAGACACCTCTAACAAGTAAACCTTTTTTGTTATGGAAATACGAGAAAAAAAGATTTTATATATATATATATATATATATATATATATATATATATATATATATTCTTGTGGTTTTTGAATAGTTAATTTCCCAGTACCTAATGGCATACCAGTTTATTGACGTTAGTTTAATCAGGCATATTGAAAACTTGGAGAGATACAGATTTGGAACTGATGATCCCTTTGAATTCTCGGGAGTTTTATTTTGTAGAACTATACCGTCTCAGAAAACAGGATGTTCAAATGTTGGAGGAAATGCTGCAACCCTGTTTGCCAATGAATTTTCGCATGCGCATGCGAACTTGCCCAATATATGTTGTTCAGGTGTGGCTTGAGAATGGAAAATCGAAATTTTACACCTTGAAACATTGCAATCCAAAGGCGTGTCATTAAAAAAATCGGTTCTGCATATCTACAGTTTTGATCAAGTCTCATTTCTTGGATAGATCTGATGCGTAAATCACCAATCTATCGTCAGTATTTCGTTGATCCTGGCAGTAGGCTCAAAAAATACTAATACTCTTAAAGAAATCCTTTTTTTTATTCGAAAGATTTATGTGTTTTATCAAATATTTCCAGGCATGGACATATCGTTAGCGAAGGCAATGGACGCACTGAAAGGCAGTTCCATGGAGAAGAAGCAGATCAAACTGAACCTGAAAACGCCCATGGGCTCGAAAGGGAAATCTGGTGATTCAGACGTGAGGAAATTGGAAATTGCTGCGGCCGCAGCGGCGGCCGTCCAGGGCAAGAAGAGGGGTGCTACCTCGCCACCTCAGGGGGAGAGCAAGTCCAAGAAGGCTACCTCCAGGTATGGGAACTTCATCTTGTAGAGGAGAATAAGAAACAATGACAACATGCAATATATTTTGAAATCCCATCTCAAATAAAGTCAAGAAAAAATAAAAATGATTTTGGGATAAATCTGGTATGCGAAACAAATTATATCTGATAATTTCAATGCCTACTTAGGAAATTCTGTTTTCTTGAATATGGCGAAAAAATGAAGTTGGTGCTGGAGGACAACAGACGAAACGTCATATTGAAATTCTAAGTATGACATCTTGTAGAGGAGAAAAAGTGGCAATGTTAATGTGCAATTTATTTTGAAATCGCACTATAAAGTCAGGAAAAAATTTTGGTAAAATTCAGTTTTTTCCGTCTCACTTACCACTTTCTTAGATACCTAAATGCGCAACTATGCCGCCATTTAACCGTCTTTGTATCCCTTACCGTTTCCGAGATCCCAAAGGTGAGGGTCGAATTTGAAACACCCGGTATAGTAAATAGAAGAACTGCTGTGACACATCCTCATAGGTGTGACTTGATTTTATATCGGATAATTTTTTGAACGCGGAGCTGGCCGCATTAGGTTCGCATCCTCAGTAGAATACGTTATTCAATGGTAGAACATGGAAATTATTTTTAATCATCATGTCCGTTATTTGACTTGCAATCACTAGTGTTTTCTTCCCAAAACGCACACATTACCGAAAAACTTCTGTCAAGTATTAAATTAAATTGAATATTTTTCTAACATGGTTTTTCTTTTTGTTTCAGAAGGGAGGAATTGCTGAAGCAACTGAAAGCCGTGGAAGACGCTATTGCGAAGAAACGATCAAAAGTTAATTGAACGCTCTGTTGTTGCAGTGCTAATTAGGTGTTAAGTGGAAAACTGATTATTGATAATTTGGTTGATTTGTTTATTGTAATTAATGACTTGAGTATCTCGTATTTCTTTGTACTGCATTCATTGGATTGTTGCAATACCATTGATTAATGTATTATCTTCGGAAGATGGCTGCATTAGTAATGTTAGTAGAAGAAAAAGTGGTTTTAATGCACACAAGCAAGCTGTCACCTAGTTGAAGATGCATTCCCGGTCTCGTGATACATTGTATCATATCCACTAACTTTCACTTCAAGGCCTCATAAGCATAAAAACTGGAAACAGGCAAACCCATAGAGGGAGTGTTGAAGCCAAAAGAGAATGAAGGTGGGCTATCTACTTTAACCATTGTGTCAGTCGTGCATTTAAAGTTCTGCGGATGTCATGTCATGCTCAAAAGCTCTACGCGCACTACATTTCCGGGAGCTTTGCCCTCCTTACCCCCCAGTATTGGCTTTATATGATTACCTGTGTTTTACCTTGTGCAATCTTCATGCTCTCAGTAGTACCTTTGATAAACGTATTCTAACTGAAGATATCCAACCTGATGCTTCTTTTTTGCGTCCAATAAATTATCCGAGATAAAATGCGATACCGTACCGTGATTTACAATTTGTCACAGCTGTTTTTCCAAAGCATATATTGTAAATAGAGAAACAGATGTGACAAATTCTCATAGATGACGCTACAATATCTCATTTTATCTCGAACAATTTATTGGGCGCTGGAATATAGCATACGTTAATCATTGATAGTGTTTAGTGTTTTAATGCATCTAGATACTTTTTATTATCTAAGAAATATTTGGAAAGTTGATACAAATCTCTTCTCAAGCTTCTCTCGTTAGATGATTATACTATTTTCTAAACTAATGCATTAATCAGTGACAAGTAACATTTTCCTGATGTTATTACGCAGCAAGTGCCGTCGATTTTCAGACGGAATTGAAAAGTATCCGATACTTTCATAAAACAGTGTAAGCTTAATGAAATAACAATATAATATTCATTATCTGTTATATTATTGTAGCTATTATGGCCAAGGCTCTTGTAACTATTACACATGTCCAATCAAGTAAAACATTTCTAACAGTTATCGTTTCATTTAAAAGGCGAGAGTAACATCTAGGCATTTTATCTTGGTGGAGTACTGGGAGTATTTCACAACAGCTTGTAGCAAAAACAGCAATTTATAAAAATAAAACTTAGCCTAGAGGTATTTGTGTAAGAACAAAGCATATATGTATATACACATAATGGTAAATTTAACTTGGGAAACTCAATTTATTCTTTATCTCATTGAAACTGCAACCAAAAATGTCAGAGTCGTTAGCAATTTTATTAGCATTGTCACACGTCATATTAACTGGTGCTTTTGATAAATTAGTCTGTGCTCTTTGGCTTAAAAAAGGTTAACTGGTTAACTAGTTTGTGAAGCTAATCATGGCACCAGAAAGTGTACAGATTGAAAATCATACTTTTTTAGAAGGTCATTATAATCGGAACCTCTTGCAGGGTATATTCCACCAGTTTGAAACTAATAAACTTCAAAAATTACTTCTGAATTTTATCAACAGCATCAACATATTGTTTATCAACAGGGCTTCATATAAGAGACCCAAATTTAAGTTTTAACCTTATCAGGCTCTGACGTGATGTCAATGTATAGACATTGTCAAAGTTCATACAGCTTCTTATTATAAAGCCACAAGTTTTAAATGCACTAGAAATGATTTGGTTACTATGATCATTGAAGGTGAGTTGCGCGTCAAAGTAGACACCTGAATCTTTCAGTCTCACAACGCTACAATACACAATCATCCATTGTGTAGTTGTACCATATAGGAGTTTGTCTTTGGAAATATTTAGAAAAAGATTTATTATTTTCACACCATCTTAAAATATTCATTTGTCCTCGTAGCACCACACAATCCCCATCGAGGAAACAGTAGAGAAAAATATGCGACATGAGCTCGTTTTCTGTTGCAACTTAATATTGGTGCTAATCCCCATTTGATTGAACCACACATTCCCAGTGGCGCTTCCACATCCTAAAGCAGCCCTCGAACGCAGATTGTTTAATGGTCTTTACCTCGCACGTCGTATTACACTGAGAATCGTCTCGATGCCGTCGAAGCACCTTGCTTTGAACGCCATTTACAATTTTGGGAACATTCTAAAGTCACAGCGAGCTGTGTTGGGACTGAATGGCGGCTGGCAAAGCTATACAATCTTGTGTTTTGCCAAAAATTGCGGCACAAAGTTCGATGAATGCGCTGGAGCGTTATCGTGGTGAAGAAGCCAGTCTCCGTTTGACCAGTAACGGCATCACACAATCTTTTCCGAACATCAACGTAACATTCTTTGTTGATCGTCTCACCTCTTTGAGCTAATTTGTAGTGCACAATACCTTCACAATCGAAAAAAATAATCAGCCTTGACTTGACATGGCTCCGACTTTGACGTACTTTTTTCGACCGTGACTTGTCTTGACTCTTTCACTGTGAAGATTGTAGTTTATTTTCAGGACCGTAACCATAAACCCATGCTTCATCACCAGTAATAACCTTAACCTTTCAGTGGTCGCGCTAATTTTTAGCACACCAGTGGTCGATGCGGACTCCTAGTCCACAGGTAAATAATTTCTTTTTTCTGTGCCCAAAAACAATAATTATGATATTAAAACAACTTCATAGTAGAAATAACTTTATTATAAACTATTTATATTACAACTCTGGAACTAATTAACTAAATAATAATAATAAAAAAAAGAATGTTATCTTTCATTGTTACTCACAATATATTGATTGATGCATTTCAATATGGTTTTATAACGAACAGTAGCACACTTAGTGCGGTTGTTGATTTTGTGGACTACATTTTAATGGCTCTAGATAAACAACAAATAGTTGTAGCTGTTTTCATTGACCTAAAAAAAGCTTTTGACGTAGTAAGCGTAGACATTCTTTTAGATAAATTGTTTAAAATGGGATTTAGAGGTGTTTTGTACAGCTTGATTAAGTCTTATTTATATGACAGAAAACAGTACATAAAGCTTGGAGACATTGATAGTGAATGGTTATCTAGCACCTATGGAGTACCACAGGGGTCAGTTCTTGGACCTCTGTTATACAGTCTTTATGTACTGAATCTCAAGTTGGCCAATCTGAGGGGAAGATATTTTACCTTTGCAGATGACACTGTACTGGTATATACTGGAACAGACGAAATTGCTTTAACGAATCTTATTAATGATGACCTGAATAGTTATCTTAAATGGCTGTTTTCGAATAGATTAAAAATTAACATTGAAAAAACAAAATACATTATATTTAAACAAAAAACAAGATAGTTATCAATAATCTAAATATTAACATAAATAATATAGCGCTAGAAAAAGTGTCAAGTATTAAATATTTGGGATTACTGATAGATGAAAGTTTAAATTGGTCACTTCACGTAAATGGAATTTGTGATAAAATAGTTTCAATGCTATCTGCCTTATATAAGAGTCGAGATTATTTGTCCAACAAAAGCAAATTTCAAATTTATAATGCCTTCTTTCTTACACATTTTAGGTACCTCGTGCCAGTATGGGGTATGTGCGGTGAAGTTAATTTTAATAAAGCTCAAGTTTTACAAAATAAAGTTCTGAAAATATTGTTTAATTTTGATTGGCTTACAAGTTCTAATACACTTTATTCAAATTTAAATTTAAACAAATTAAGAGTGTTATTGTAGGTGGAACAATGTAAACTTGTTTATAAAATTATAAATAATCTACTAAAAAGTAACATAAATATTAGGTTCTACCATAACGTGCATGATCACCAAACAAGATCACTAAATAATGTTTATCAAATTTCCACAAGAACTAACATAGGTTTAAAAAATCCGATCACAGACGCAATTAAGAAATTTAATAATTTACCTCATTGTATAAAAGATTCAAATAACTATAGAAGTTTTGTTAGAGAATTGATAGATTGTAAAAATGTTAATGAATTTATTTGTTGAAATTATGAGCAACATTGCAGTGTACCTGTAGTTCATAGATTATTAATTATTGTCTTGTTATTCTCGGGGCCAGTGTTTGCAAACACTGATTAGGGAATTATTGTTATAACTGGTTGTACTTTTGTATTATTGTGTTTAAATAAATTATTTCAAAAAAAAAATAAATAACAAGAAACAAACTGAAAAACATATACAAAACATGAAAATAACAATTTGACTTCCCACGAGGCTGTTGGGAAGCACTCTTGACAAATAGTGAAAGCGTGCTGTAGACATAAAAAGTAACATTTCTTACAAAAATATCGGGTACGTCGATTTCTTTTCTGTCACACATAGAACACGTTTGATTTGCTTGAGAAGTTTCGGGTGTCTCCACACATTATATATCAAGAATCTCTCCAATTCTGTATTTTATTAATCTTTGTAAGTTAGACAAATTGTAACGATTTCTTATGTGATCATGCAGTAAGTCGAAGGACAGTCTCCGCAAAAATTCTCTCCTCAAGATGGTTTCGTCCATATCATTTGCCTTGTATATAACTAGAGAATTTATGCCAGCAGTGTTCAACTAAGAGTAAAAAACAACCATAGCCAACCTTCGAGTGCTTCGTGTGCAGTTATACATGGAGCATAGTTTGTCTACTGTATATACTCCTCCCTTTGTCTGGTTGTGAGTATTATGTCTGGCTTTGCTGGTTCTCTATCAATAGCGTCATCAAGGTGTAAGCTTGACATAAGCAAAACATTTTTCTGTCTTTTTGGGATATGGGACACACGTGTGATAGTCTAGAAACAGTGATAAGTTTTCTGGGCGGTTTAGTGGTCGAGCAAAATTCATTAAGAATCTCTCTTTTATTTTTTTAACCGTTCCAATGAGAGTTATCGGTAGTTACGTTCCTGCCAGTTCCTTCAAAGGTTCGCACATCCTTTCCACTGCGGCATCTGGAGAATTATTGACTTCCCAAGGACCTACTGGCTGTTTTCCAATATGCTGCATGTACAGATAAGGTTATACTTTGTTAATTTTTTTCTATAAAATACTTCTAGATAGTTACTTTATCATATACAAATGCAATGTAGTGAAACCATCTCTGGTGAAACAAAAGTGTACTGGGCTATAATTGCATTTATTGATTAAAAGATTGCTCATTGAATACATATTTCAGAACGGCGCCACTCGTACTATTTGGAATAGAAAAAGTGATATTTGTAAGTGTCTGACACACACTACAATGTAATTATTGGATTTAAATTTAAGTTCCCGACCAATGACATGCTAAATAGTACAACCATATTATTAACTGCTCCTGATATTATTTTATGATATCTACTGGAATTCGGACTACAGTCAACAAAACATATCAGAAGGTTATAAATCCCAAAATAAATTAAAATTACATTAACCTAAACGAATTGAAAAAAGAATGACTTTCGAGTACATATTATTATGTAAAAATATTCTTAAAACACTCTTAAAACAAACAACAAAAACGTAAATTTGAACAAACTCTTAAAAGAAGCCACAAATACAAAACCATCAGACAAAAGCAACAAAACACCAAATATATTTCAATGTTTAAAAACGAAACTGAATATAACTTATTTAAAACTACATTAAAATAAACAAATTTAAAAAGAATGACATTCTTACGAGTACATATACTAAGTGACATATAAATCCGAACACCCAGTTTAAATGGTTTTATTTTAATAAAAGTTGGTGAATGTATTTATCTTACTGTAAATAACAAGTGAAAAAATTTTCAGCCTTATCAGTTGGACATTCCGGTTTTTATACTGCTTTTTTTAATTCACCAACGCTTTAAAAATGAATATTTCAGCCGCAGTAAAGAATCAACGTTGGCGGATTTTGGTTCTTGACATCCTTTACGATCGGTTACGATGCCTAGAGTACGGAGACCTGTACGATTTCGTCAACTTAGTGAGTTTGATAGGGGCCGTATAGTGGGACTTCGGGAAGCTGGACTTTCTTTTCGGGCAATTGCAGTTAGAGTGCAAAGAAGTGTGGACACTGTGGTTAGGTGTTGTCAGGCATGGCTTCGAGAAGGCCGTACGCAAAGAGCAAGGGGCACTGGACGCCGCCGTAGAACAACAGACCGTGAAGATCGCCGCCTAAGATTATTGGCCTTAACGGACCGTTTCTCCACTACCAGGTCCATTGCAAATGAATGGTTTGCAGAACACGGAAGACCTATTGGCATGCGAAGTGTTTACCGACGAATGAGAAGTTTTGGCTTGTTTTCATACCGGCCACACTGGGGCCTCCCTTTAACTCGAGAACACCGACGTAATCGCCTTGAGTGGTGCAGACAACGGTCACTCTGGGATCAGGAATGGAACAGTATTGTCTTTAGTGACGAGTCTCGATTTTGTTTAGGCATGCACGATGGTCGTGCCAGGGTTAGAAGGCGACGTGGTGAAAGGAGGAATCCACAGTTTTTTGTTGAAAGACATGTTCATCACACTGTTGGAGTTATGGTTTGGGGTGCTATAGCTTATGGTTCCAGGTCACCTTTAATCTTCATCAGAGGTAACATGAACGCGCAGCGTTATATCCACGAAGTTCTAGAACCCCATCTTTTACCCTATCTTGAGAGTCACAATAGACTTCTTTCAACATAATGATGTCACATTGTTACCATGGCCACCAAGATCTCCCGACTTATCCCCAATTGAGCACGTGTGGGATATGATGGGTAGGAGATTGCTCAATTTGCAACGTCCTCCTCAGACTCTAGAAGCACTTCGAGAGGAGTTGGTGGTTGCCTGGAATGAGATACCACAGGAGGACATTGACCACCTGATCAGAAGCATGCCTAGGCGCGTTGGAGAATGCGTAGCACATCAGGGTGCATCCACACATTATTAAAGGTCAAAGGGCTTTAAAGCAGTGCAATCATTTTGAAATTTTTATCATTTACCTATTATGCTTCATTAAGTACTTATACAAAATTTTATTAAAATAAAACCATTTAAACTGGGTGTTCGGATTTATATGTCACTTAGTATATTATTATTATGTTTTTTATAATGTCCCTTGAAATTGGAAAATTAAAGCAGCTTTTATCTTCGGCATTAATTAGTCTTTTGCGTTGCAAAATTCCGCTTATTGTCGTAGCACCCAGTCGATTACGCAATTTTGTTTTGTTTAAATTAATGTAAAAAAATAATCTTTCTACACTTGCGCTACTGTGTGGCAATGTAAATAAAATTTGAACAAAATTGGTAAGCTCTGGGTATGCAAGACTATCATCCCCTTTTTTAATATTGCTTATGTTTTTCCAGTATTGAATTTAACCAAGCGAAACATCACTTTCAGAAAACTTTAACTGCCTAAATTCTTTATCTAGATTGTTAATGTCTTTAACTATATTTGGAAACCTACTAGCCAGATGACCTATACTTTCAGTTGATTATATATTTGATGGGTGCAGAAAAGTTATTAGTTTGCGAATCTGTACTTCTAGGGAATTAAAAGGGAAGCGCTTCCATACTTGGCTTACCGCTTCAATATAAAAATCCAGACATTTCAATCCGAAATTATGTTTGGTATTTTCGGTAAAAAAATGATTTATTTCTTCTAATACTTTTGAACCCAAGTACATTTTTCCATTGGAAGAAAATGTTCTGGATTTCGATATTGAACATTAACTATATTTGTATTTCTTAAATATTCTGATTTTATGAAACAGCTTAATAATAATTTACACGCGTCAATAATCCGGGGGTAAAGGTTATGTACCTTGGGGGTTTCAGACTGGAATTCCAAATTCATATCCGTAAAAGTCGGTAATATAAATTGCAAAAAAAGAATATATAGTTTATTTAATTTATTATTAAGCATGTCTTGGATTTCCGCTGCTCCTGACGCTTCATCGAATGCTTCAATTCTAAAATAATTCTCTAGAGCAGGGCTGTCCAACTCCTTCTCCTTTCTCCGCTTCACGGGTCATGTATACATCACAAGTATAAATTACTCTCAAATATCGAATATGCATATACCTATTAAAACTCAGTAATAATGTTGTATAGAAATTTTATAATGCGGCCCTCCAAACTGCATTTTTTTTTGAAGTGGCCCTTGGGCCACATTAAGTTGGACAGCCCTGCTCTAGAGCATCATATTGCTCAATAATTCTACTTCCAGCGGAAATCAGTGACAGCCACCTGGTCTGTGATGAATGCAATAATTTGTGGGGTTTGATGTTAAAAATTGTTTGAAATTCTTGAAATTCCGAAAATCTATTAAAACTGCAATGCATATAATTGTATACGCTTCTTGCCAAATTTTCTGCGTTGTCCGGTAATTTTTCTCAAGCAGAAGAGGCACAAAGAGCTAAAGAGTGGAATATACACTTCATGACATATAAATCCGGTATATCGTTAGTTAAAAGAGTTTTAAGCGCATGATGTGCTCCCATCATAGCATTTGCCCCATCTGCTGCAAATCCTACTAAATTATCTTTGTATGGTAATTTATTTTCGAAAAAAATAAACGTTTAATGGTATAAATTTTGGGCTGAAGCGTCTTCAACTAAAATACGGCCGAGAAAATGATCTTTTATATTAAATTTTTTATTGTTCTGGACAACAATTGCTAAATGTTTTTCGAATGACAAATCTGTCGATTCGTCAACCAATAATAAAAATTTATAGCAATTTAAGTCACTAATAAGATGTTCAAAACTTATTTTCCCTAATACATTGTTTATGATTGCCGTACATTTAGTTCGGCCTACAGACATTTTTTCGCTTGGCTACTCTCCATTCTAGACAAACAAATAGATTTTATAAGTTCATTAAGATGATCTGACACATTTATTGCGATATTATGCTCTGAAATAAAAGCTGTAATTTTAATTTCATTTTGTTTTACTATATTATCAGAAGAAATTTGAAATACTTTTTTTGACAAAGTTGGCTGCTTAAACATAATATTTAAAAATTTTATATTCTTTTTTGAATAACCATGTTTTTTTAAAACTCATATGCCGCCTAAATAATCACAATTGCAAACCTTGCAGTGGAAGAAATAGCTTCCACGGGAACTTGGCTGCACCCAGTTCTTAAAATTTTCATGCTGCTCCCACTCAGCCTTGTATTTTTGGAAATATATTTTTTTCTTTCGAGGTTGGTTGGTCTTCTGGATCTTACTAGATACTGAGAATTATCAGAATCAGAAGTGGCATCTAATGCATTTGTTGTACTCGGTCTCGATTCCTCGGATTCTTCTTGAACTGAAGTAGACGTTTTGCTTGGACCTGGTTGTGGAGATAATGGCCGAACTGCGTCATATTTTTTCTTAATTACCAAAAATGTTTCCATTATTATGGTATCTGATGACCTGAAACACAAAAAACGATTTTAGCCTTTATTACAAACTAAGTTTTGTCTCAACTAGATATAGATCAGCAATTTTTTATTGTTAACGTTACCTCATAAAATATTTTGTAAAATAAATTGTTTTAAACAAAAAAAAACTCAAATGTGTCCCAGTTTGCTTGTAATTGCAGGGTATCTTGGATATTTTTAAAGATAGAATTTTACAGTTTTCGGGAACATGTGCCACTTTTTTGTGCAATATAATAATTAATGGTGGCATAAATACAAGGTGCTAACATTTTATTTCATACTCATATTAATGTTCATATTCAAAGGGCAAATACAGGGTGTTCCATTAAAAAAACTAAGTTAGGGTCATAACTCTTGAACGACGCCTCTGATTTTTTTTCGAGCACGCCACTGAATACGCAGAAGTATCTATCTAAAGCAGTTTTCACCTTTTTCCTATCTTATACAGGGTGCGAGCTATGATAGTGCCCTAAAAAGTGAAATTTTTCGTTTCACCCTGTATTTCAGTGGCAAAACGAGTTAGCTTAATTCTGTTTGTAGCATTATTAGTTTCATAAAAAAGTGGCGTAGGTTCTCGAAAACCACAAAGTTCTGTATTTGAAAATAACCGAGATACCCTGCAATAACAAGCAAAATCGGACACCCTGTACTCACTAACTACAAACTATTTAAGCTAATAATACAGCGAATAATAATATGTATATATAATAACTAATTTTTCTATAAAAACCAAATTCGTTAGAATAATAATTTCACCTACCTTCTTTTTATTTTTCACTCACTTAAATTCAGTGGTCTGTGAAACGTACACGTAAAACGTATAACTAATGTAGACGTAAATCAATAAACGATGTTACAAAATAATGAGTAATGTTCACTAAAGAATGAATATTAAGAATGAAACACCCGTTGCGAAGCCTATATATAAAAATAAACTATGTGAATCACCGAGAAATCTTATGCAAATCACCGCGCCAAACAGGTTGACCACTAGTCTAGATTCATTTCTTTCTTTCTTTCTTTGCATTTGCGGGGTTTCACATAAGTTTCTTTAGCACCCCTGTGTGAATCCCCGCACCGAACAGGGTTGACCACTCGTCTAGATTAATTACTTTGCATTTTGCACAACACGCAAAGTATAATGCGTCACCTAACTTCTCACTGGAAATTTGCAACAGGTCATCAATGTAAAATCAAGTCAACCCCCAATACTTTGTGCTGTTATGCAAAGTGCAAAGAAATGAATGTAGACTCTAGTGATCTGCGGGTTAAAGACTATTTAAATCTTGTCGTCATACAACCTAACCAGAAAAGCCAGAGATACCTAATTTAAAATATTTTTTTCTAATATTTTAACTTTTTTGATATTATTTTTTGCTTAAAAGGATGCATTTCTATATTTTTTCATTGTATCTTTATTTTATTTTTTTTACTACAAAGTTTTCAAAAAATCACTAGAAATATGACATTTAACAAAAGTTTTCACTTACTAAACTTGTTCAAAATTACTAGATCTAGTGAAATCTCACTAGATCTGGCAACATTGTACTGACCCTAAATTCGTTATTTAACATGCCCTTAAAAGTATAAATAACCTACCTTAACGACTGAGTAGTGAAACTTATGCTTCTTAAACAGAAAACACCTTTATCGACTAAGTTTTGCGCATGCGCAGAGACGTATTGAATTGACACTATTGACGTATTTGTCTAAAATGTCATTCGCATTCTTTCTGTCAAAAACTTTACTGTTGTCGTCGGTAAGTTTATTTTTGGTGTTAAAAATCTATATTCATCTTGGTATTTAGTTTCCTTTCCTTCAGTTTAACTGCTTTGTTGTGATTATTTGCCAGCTATGCAACGCTTGCACAATATATTTTTTCGCTTATAAACAGATTTATCTCGAGAAATCACAAAAATACTCTCTTAACCTACATGAACTCATGGATGCTCTGTTTTGTATTTCAGGAGACTAAACAACAGTTAAGATGAAATTCAATAAACTGGTAACGGCTTCCAGAAGCAAAAATAGGAAAAGACATTTCACGGCCCCTTCCCATGTTAGGAGGAAGTTGATGTCGGCCCCACTCTCTAAGGAACTGAGGCAAAAATACAATGTCAGGACCATGCCCATTCGTAAAGACGATGAAGTGCAGGTAAATCTACGTTCTACAACATTTGAACAGCTATGTTATGGAGTATATACCTTCATATTTATTAGATTTGTGTTGTTACAGGTTGTAAGGGGACATTACAAAGGACAACAAGTAGGCAAGGTAGTTCAAGTATATCGTAAGAAATTCGTTATATACATTGAAAGAATACAAAGAGAAAAAGCTAATGGAGCCAGCGTTTTTGTAGGCATACATCCCTCAAAGGTGATTATTCAGAATTATTGAATACCTTCAACGTTATATTTATACACTAAAAATGAAGTACCACTGACTTTGTAGTGTGTACCAGAAAGAAGCATGCAATATGTGTGTTAATAGACCCACCTAACAACCCAAGTACAAGGTTACAGATGCCATCAGGTCACTCACTAACATACATGCAGCATACCTTTCTCATACACATGTTATTAGCTAAATTTGAACCACACTATTTATTTTTCTTTTCGTAATTAAAACATGTTAATTCATAAACTTACATGATGAACCAAACCATTCGTAGACTACAGTTCAGTCAAATCTTGGTGTCAATGCTGTTGCTAGAGTTTTTTTAGCAAATGTGCAGTGCCGCCTTGATTTACCTGTAGTATGGTGAAAAACTTGGCACTGATTTTTCTTTAATTTGCAATAAACCTTGGCTTTTATAAAATCTGTTCTGATATGTGTTAAACTTGTTGCAGGTTGTAATTGTCAAGTTGAAGATGGACAAAGATAGGAAGAAGATCATTGAGCGCCGGGCTGCAGCACGTCTTGGCAAAGACAAAGGAAAATACACAGAAGAATCTGCAGCATCAGCTGTAGAGACATCTTAATATGTTTGTATAAAAAATTAATAAAAATAAGTACAAAAAAATGTTTTATTTCCAAACATTCCTTAACCTACATACATTTCAATTTAGTTCCTTTTTTTTTGAGCTTGACTTGAACCTTTTCCTCAAATTATTGTTGATACCCTCTTTATTTCTTGCTATCTCTATTGCTAGAAATTGTATCTTTGTTACTAAGATTGAATTCTTTTCACTGTAGTCATCGGAAGCATCAAGCCTTAACAAAGTACCAAAACTATAATCTTCAATGATATTTTTGAACTGTTCACAGAATTGTCTCCATTTTTCTTTAGCTTTTGAGCTCTTTAGATCATCTTCATTCAGAACATCTATTTTGAGATCGTGAAACTGTTCCCTGAATACCTTGTATACCAGCTCATCTTGAGGCGATAGTTGTAGAGATTGTGGATCTACAGAACATAGTAGCTGAAATAATTAGAATTAGCGAATTTTCTTAATGGTGAACAATTGCTAGGCTTACGTTGAAGTGGACTTCTGCATGTTCGAAGGCTTTCATAGCCCACATTGCTTCAATTGACTGGTCATTCTCAAATTCTTCGGCAGGACGGGATAAAATATCCTACAATTTGATTCACAACAACAAATTCATAAATCCAAAGAAATAATACATACCATTTTAGTGAAGTATGATAGCAAAGAAAACTGTAACAATAAATACCTTGAATACTTGATTTTATAAACAAATAGAAAAATGTTCTTTTTAAAATTTTAAGGTTAATCTCTTGATTTGAGTCATTGTGTCATTTTGACGTATGCGATGGGGCAATAGTGATGGGCTCAGTAACAACGATCAAATCGACATTTAATGCGGGTCCCACACGACGTTTCCAGTGCTGTTTACAAAGTTCGACACCCCACAATTGGCATGGTGGCGCCAACATATTATCGGTGTCAGTGTTGCGCGTGAACCTTTACAACTCAAGGAAAAATTACATCAAATGAACGATGGAACAATTTTTTCGAGCGCCGAAAAATAATTTCAGATCTGTCTTCAGCGGTCAAAACTTAAGTCTGTCAGAAGCCTCAGAATGTCGAAAAACAAAGTTTGACCGTGTTTTATTTGGTTTTTGACGCCGCCACTGTACCGGTTCTCAAAAATTGCAGAGCTTTTACGTCATTTTCATAGTAGTAACTTAGGGTCAAACACATGACATCTCGTGTGGGAGCGTAACGCACCATGCTTTCAACGTTGTAACGTCCTGTGACGTGGGTCAAATTTACCGACAAGAGTCCGTCTTATGTGTTTTGTGGTACGAGCGTGCCATGTGGCGAACGTTGGACACATGCAATCTGTTAGCGCTTTCCCACACGATGTGGCGAATGGCCATGTGTCCAACGTTATAAGGCATTCGCCACATCGTGTGGGACAGGCTTTACTGTTATCATGTAGTAAACTCGTCTCCATTTTTCAATATGACAGAAGAGCATTTTCAAAATATCAGACATGTCAAGCAAATTTAACCAAAATTTGGACGATTTTAAAATAGTGGCTTACAAAAAGAAAAATTCGAAAATAAGGGCACCACCTGCCACAAGAAACTCTATAGAAGATTCATTCGTAGACTGTACAGTAGATAAAGAAACACTCAAAAGGTAAGCCCTTGCAAATCATGTCAATTATGCATTATTTCTTGAAATTCACCAGGTTATTCTATTATTATTGAGGTGCATCAGGAATTATAAGTAAAGTTGCTAACCAAAGTGAACTTCATAAATCACGTTACCATGATAAAAATGGTGCTATAGTACTGTAGTACCAGTATTCTTTACTATATTCATTATTTACTTGATAAATCCTCAATTTTAGCGTTTTATCTACATTCTTTTTTTCCCTCTATTACTTTCCTGATAGTGTTGGTGAATCCATTTTTACCATTGAACCATTTATTTTAGGCGAATTTTGGATGCCAAATCTGAAATCTCGACAAGTGATCTACACGAGTCTCTCTTATCATCGCTGCAAGAATCATTCAACACCTTAGAAAAACCCCAAATATCAGAAATTGTCTGTTTTGGCCTGGGAAGGTTTACAGAGAGTCTTACTGCCAGGTACCAGCTTGCACTCCTTCTCTGTCTCAAAGATTTTTATAAAGTAAAAGTTAGTACTTATGATCCCCGTTTCTGTGAGAATGAAATCACATTATTAGAATGCTTTGATATCAAAGTCTTGGAAAGGAATGTGGAAGGAAAGTACAAAGTCAAAACAGGCAAATATGTGTTATTTTATCTTCCACACTGTCCCAAACAATTGTCTAACAACTTGCTTTGGTCTAACTGGGGTTTAAGCTTATGCCAATGCATTATAATAGCAAATAGTTTCAATTCAATTGTAGAAAGGTTTTCATCAAAAGTACTTAAGGAAAATGCAGAATATATCTCAAAAATAACACCATTTGTGCTGGAGGTAGCTGTAATCAATAACTTCAAATTTTATGAAGTTTTTAATGACACAGCAGTACATGTGTTTCCAAAATTATCCTTTGTACCTCAGGACTTGTGGCTGCAGAACAAGGAGCCTAAGTATAGTGAAACTGATGTGGAATTTGTGACTGTGAATGAAAATTTGAAATCATAATCCTCAAAAGCTATGGTCTTGTCAGAGATGGAATATTGATACTGGTTTCAGAGCTCATGCTATATAAAATCGGATTTGTGAGACAGGTCTTGTACTGAATTTAAAGACAGGATTATCTCAAAGACTGTTATAACAATTTACACTATAGCCTTTATAAGATCTTAATATAAACAATATTCCTTTGTTACATATTTGCATTATTTTAAACATGGACAGAAAAGTGTCAATACTATGTATTGATAGGAACAGTGCCAAGTTTATGTAGTAGCCATGTTATTTTTTAAGAATAAACATTCTTTGTTCACTAAATCAAATGCTAAAAATTTTCTTTGTAAATTGATAATTATGTAAATGCTCCAAGATCTGTATATTAAACAATTTAAATTGTATTTGGATTACAGACTGGTAAATATAATAAGCATATGAATATGAATATATTTTTGTTTCTCATATTCACATCAGAGCATTTCAAAAAATGGACAGTGTTTTTTCCAACATTTTTCCAGAAAAGAAACTATTTTTATTATGGTCATTAAAATCTTGGAATTCACTAGCCATATTCTAAAAAAATACTTAAAAATTTGACGCTTGTCCCTATTTGGCAAGCCATAATCATGTTGCTACTATCATTGATTAACATATTCCACCAGAAGATACCCAATTCATTCTAAATACATGCCTGCCTGAAAATAATCTGCCAACCACTTACCTTTATATATACTGTCAACCTTCCTCTTTAGGCGACAATGTTGTCACCTGTCAGATTGTTGCCCCGGGTTATGGGATATCCTTTCCCATCATTGAGAAATTCTGGGAAAATGAAGTCGTAGAATAACTACACGGAAGGTTGAGGGTTGAACTTGTCTGATGAGATTGATATAGGAATAAAATATTTACTTAAAAAGGAAAATTTAGTATATTTTTATTAATATAAGGGAATTATTGCAATTCTACTTGGCAACATGTCTATAATGATGAAACTTTCATGTCAACATCCAAGTATAGCATCTTTTTGAAAAAAAATCTTAATCAATACTATTATCAGCTTTATATCATCAGAATCAAGAGTATCCTTTATTGGTTGATCCAGTTGTTCAGAACTACAACCATTGATGAAAACACTCTGCCTGAAGATAGCCAAACTTATGCTATATTCGCGCGTCCAAAAAATTATCCGAGATAAAATAAGATTCAGTAGAATGCATTAATGAATGTTACAACCGAGATCTTTCTGTAGACCAAATGCAACACCTAAATTATAGTAGGTCCTTTAAATAACATTTGAAAACCTGAGGTAAATTCCCTCTGCCCTAGAGATGCGTGGGAATCTGTCTATCCTCCGTCAGATCATATCAGAGTTGCGCTATGGCCTACCAAATGGCGTTAGCAGACAAGAGCCCACATTGCAGTACATACTGGGCCAGTACAGGAAGTATAAAACCACGGATGAACAACTGTGTAAAGCCAGGGAAGAGATGGAGTACATAGCTAAGAGCTATCTTTGTTATTTGAAGAGTTCCAGACTGGAGAAGGAGATACAGCAGGAGTTCCATGGAAAAGGAGAAAGGAGTGTGCAAGATACTGCTAGGATGGTTGGATTTAAGTTGCCATATGATCCTCAGTGAGGCATTGAAGTTTTGTAGAGAATTTGTAGGATTAGGTTCAAAGGGGTTTTATTTTGTAGACAGGCAATAGACATATGTATATTCTAACAATGAAGGTGATTTTATTTTGTTCCACCCACTTATTTGAAATGAAGACTCTTCTAATAGGATCATGTTCAAGGGAAGGATGTGTCAAATAGCTATTTCACGAGTATCCATCACACTTTGACATCTACTGAGGTGAACAGCTGATCAGTAAGTGACATTTTTGTGTTGGTCTGCGACGTGGGCAATAATGAATCGGGTGTAAACCTAGTAAAACTTGTTTGTAGCGTTTTGTTTTTTGTAAACAAATTAACTTTTTTAAATGAAAGAGTTGTTAGCAAGTACAAAATGCATCTGTAGCCTGTAACGTACAAAAAATCAAAACAAAATACGGCTCTGACTACCTGACGTTGACGGATCCGTTAGAATTGTGTCCTGTGCCGATATGTGGAATTTTGAGATATTACTAGATAATAAGCTTTCATTCTACCGTGATGGATACTGGTGAATAAATAGTGTAAACAGTGATGGATACTCGTGAAATAGAGTATAGGTTAAAGAATGATTAACCTATAAAAAATCTGAGGAATAATGAAGGGGCATACATAATTTCTTCAATAAATATTTATTCTTATCTATGATAAAAAGGGTTTTTGTAAAAAAATAAATGCGTTACATTCTTTATGATCGATAAACATCCTGATTTTTTTATTTAATTTCTGTTGGTCTTTATGAGGAATTCGATGAAATCGTAGGAAAATTCGTATCTGGCTGAATCAGGGTATCAGGATCATTTTAAGCCAAACCCAGACCTAAGCACGTAAAAAATATGAAAACAGAGTTTAGATTCGGTTCCATGGTGTTAAAACGTATGTTTGTGATTCTGCTTGAAAAGTGCATTTTGGAGTTTATGTTTGCTAAGAAAGTGCCAGCTCAATTACTATCTTTTAATAACTATAAACATGAACTGCAGGTTAATATAATATTCATTTTGAATACGGCGCATCTGAGAGAGTTTCTGGGTAGAATCAATCAAGCTTCAAGATACTAATACTATTTTTTGCTTAAACCAGCGGTGTGCCATTTCGTTGCTAAACATAGTCTTGCCAGCGTGGATGTCGCTGATATGCTTGAAAAATATTTTTTACATATTAATGTTACGATTGATAATACATTCGCATATACTAAAACTCATGCCTATATGTTACAATCTGTTTTCGATAAATGGGAGATGAATTTTCATGGCGGAGCAGGTTTAAACACCTACATTATTCAGGTGAAGCTTTTGCGGAATTTAAGAACGCTTTTTAATGCTCTGACGTCTTGAACCTGCTCTTTATTTTCCCTGAAAACATTCTGAAACACTATTGAACATACCTCGCGACAGTAGCATGTTGGATATAACAAGCACTCTCAGAGGTGCTGGCGATCTTTCAGTTGCTTTACTTAATGATAGGCCATAATTACAAGGGCGCATTCCTGTACCAAATTTAAATAGAAAAGCTCATATAAAAATGTGTCCTAAAAGGTTAGCTTTGCGATTCACGGTATCAAAGTTGAATAAAATGTTTTTATATTATATTATTTATTATTATATCAATATCTCAAATATCCTTGTGCCGAATTTAGGCAGTGTTGTTCACTGCAATAAGACAGTAAGTTAGCACTTACTCATGATAACTCGAATTATAGTATCATGGTACTAATTAGAAGGTAATTATGACTTCCATTGACGTTTCAGGAAGCAGTCTCACTAATATTATTGACAAAAAAATATGCCATCGATTTTTTTTAAATATATATTTTCTTGGATCGCGCAGCTTATGATTTTTTGTCTCGGTATCTTTCCGTATCTTATATCGTTTTCGAGGAAAAAATAGAAAGAACTTCATTAGATGTCTAAAAAATGTTGAAATCAAATGGTTGCTATGGAGTATGTTCTGTTGTAATGAACATATTTTTGACTTTCCGTAACGATTTGCTATTACTTTTTTTCTATCAGAAGGTAGATTGTACTATTGAAAAAATATTAAATATACTAATAGTAAATATATGATACACGTTATGAACTTTTCTACTTTAATTGGGGTCAGGAATACATACCTGTCTTTAAGTCATATCATTGAGTAACATCCTTTAGAGCTTTTCCTGGATAAAGTTTTTGTCGAATCTAACCCAAACACACTATTGCTTAAACTCTTGCTGTATATGTCTGGCAATAGTAGAAAGCTGAATATTGTAAGTCCCCTCATAGATACTTCCGATCTTACAATCCCTATAAAACTTCTCCTGAATGAAGTCCTTGGTGAATCCGACTCCTCCCAACCAATCAATGCACTTGATGCAAGTGCGTTGTGCCACGTCTGCCGTGTACCATTTCGCCATAGCCGCCTGTTTCGCGAACGGTTTTTTCTGCTCGACCAATCGGGCGGCGTTGTAGATGAGAAGCCTGGCACACTCGATTTCGGTTGCTATTGAGGCTATCTGGTGCTGCATAGACTGTGAAAGAAAATCATTCGTAACATCATGATTTACTGGCAACCGTAACCCGACGCCATTCCGACTGGGCACATCTCTTTGACTCCTAAGGATTTACCAAAGCGACTGAACCCCGATTACTCGCTTAACGGCTGCTGTCGGTGTAGAGTTGAAAGATGTCATTTATGGATGCCATTGTCACACTTTAGCTAACGTGATTCCGATCGTACCCTCAAAAAATAATCGATAATCCAATAAAAATACTTCTCCATTGCATATTTGTCTTCTATGAAGATAATCAGTCGGAACGGTAGTATTTAAAACCTTAAGGAGAGCTACAGTTGACACAAGAAGTGTGACAAGCAAGCTAATAGTGTAGGAAATGACGTTGCGAACTGGTCATAAAATGACGAGTTAAATGACCTAAATCAGTTTTAGCTTTTTTAAAAAAATGTGTGTTACTAGTGTAGTATTACACAAACGGATCAGCATATGCATATAAATGAATGTAGCATTGGCTCGGTGCTGCTCGCTTAGCAATGAAAGATGACCTAATATTGTCATTTTTACACCCAATGAGTTGTGTAAGACTACGGGTAACACACATGGTATTATACACAACATGCTAGAGAGAATTGAAGGCGCGTTTTCAAAATGGTACATTTCTCTATAGTTCTGGGAATGCTAATTTCGTGGAAGCTGGACCAAAAAGACGCGAGCACCGGGTACAAATGGCGGAGCGGGAAGGAATAACGTCGATTGTAGCGATCCGCGATTATCGTTTACTGTCAATTGTCACTCGATACAGCGTTATCAAATTAAACGCAAAAACATTTTCAAGAGTAAATTACACATTGAATAACTAAAATGTAATATGTACTCTTTGTTTTTTCATGTTCTATATAAATATTGTGGCCAATAAGGTAGTATTTTCTTCATTTTGCACTCACACTAACTTGTTCTCAAAAATCATTAAATATTATACATGGTGTTAGGAAAATAATAATCGTAACTTTAAGAGGTGATTTCCTGCATTACTCTAGGCAAAAATTCATTATAACCTATGTCCGAAAATCAACCGTTTCGGATCAAAAAAATGCTGAACTTATTTCTTTTTAGTAATGAAATAAATTAATTTCGCACCTTAATAATTTAAATTCATATGCCTAATAGCGTAAAATGTATCAATACATCTATTTATTAATTAACTGTCTCTAACAATATAATTTTCTTGCTTATTAAATACAATTTTCCGAAGAAAAACAAACAAAATCCCTCACACAACTGGCAACATCGTACTCCGCCTGCAGTGCATGTATCATCGCGACCGACATCGTGCCGGTAGGCAAAATAATAAATATCTACATCGGGAAAAAATATTTGATAGTTTCTTGCATACGTTAATGCATGTATGTAATATTTACCCGACTTGATATCACATTTTATTATTCAGTATGTATTAATGTATCACTGCGTGCATTTTGATACGAAAGAGATGTTTTCGGTACGCGAGTATCACGATATGCTTATTATTTGCGGAGAGGCTCATTGCAATTCTGAAGAGGCTAGGCGCATTTACGAAGAACGTTTTCCTGATCAAAGGCTACCAGCTGGAGGAACATTCGTAGAAGTATCCCAAAGACTTCTGGACACAGGGAGTGTAGTGCCTAATTTTAACAATCGTAGAAGACATCGTGAAGTTGGAGTGGAAACCGAAGAACATATATTGTGATTACTAATACATTTAACTGTATCTTTATGTGATTTACGGATGTTTTTTTCTTTTTTCGTGCATCGCATCGTTTCAAATAATTGACTGATAATCGTGGGAATTGGTCGTGTGTATCGCCACGTACCGGTAAGTTCTGTCATTTTTTTAAGTAATTGTACTGTACTGAAAGCGTTATTAAATAAAAAATATTAGCCACAAAAAATTGCGTAGAAGTATTCAATACTCGTAATGCAAGGCATATTTTCAACAAAAATATCATACAAACGTAAACAATTCCATGAATCAGTTGCGGTCGTTGTGCGTTCGTTTCGCGGTTGCGTTGACAAATGTTTGAGAAAATTTAATTATTTGCAACTCACTTGCCTCGAAAACGATGGGTTTTATATAATGAAATATGTTTGATAATGGAATTTTTTGCTTAGAATAATGCAAGGAATCACCTCTTAAAGTTTATATTACTTCCCTAACACCCAGTATATCGGAACGCTAGAAATATAAAAGAGAAATGGAACATTATACGCAACGCTTGGTTGACTTGATTCGTTTTGAATCGGACAGATTGATTCCGAAGTCAGTAACAAAAGCATTGTACACACATCGCAATACGTTGTTAATAACAACGTATCGCAGTACACGTAAACAACTGGACATTTATTAGATGTCATTACAAGATCGATATTTGGAACCTTAGTTTGGAACAATCACATAAAAGTTGACGAGTTATCACCAAATTTCGACGTCATTACAGGGTTTGTCCGGAAAGTAATAGGACTCATTTTCTTTCACCATGACTGTACTTCGGAGCGTGCACGCACCGACTGGATTCGGTAGAGGGCGTTCCTAGCTAACGAATGAGCGGCTGGTCAGTTGTCTCAGAGCACTTGGAGAGTCAGGACAGGCATTTTCCCGCGACGTATTTCTGTGAGTGGTACAAGCCGAAAATGCAGCGTTCGTTAAAGCAGAGGTACGCGATTAAATTCTGTGTGAAACTCGGTAAATCTGCAACAGAGACGTTTGATATGATCAAGCAGGCTTACCCAGGTGTTGCTTTAGCAAGAAGTGGTGTGTTTCGGTGGCACCAGGCCTTTGTGGAGGGCCGGGCGTGCTGGAAGACCTTCGACAAACACCGATAATGTGACTCGTGTGCGCAAAGTTTTGAACTCAGACCGTCGATTAAGTATTCGTTTCATTGCCCAGATGTTAAATTTACCAAAATCTGTGGTTCATGACATTGTGACACAGCATTTGAACATGCGCAAGGTGTGCGCGAAGATGGTCCCAAAAGTGCTCACTGACGACCAGAAATTGCGGCGAGTGGAAGTGTGCCAAGAAAATTTTGAACATGTGTGAAAGTGACCTCCAATTTTTGAATAACGTAATCACAGGTGACGAGTCGTGTATCTTTGAGTATGATCCCGAGACAAAGAGGCATTCTTCCGAGTGGCACAAGACGGCGTCTCCTCGCCCAAAAAAGGGAAGAATGAGCAAATCCAAAGTGAAAACGATGCTCATTGTCTTTTTTGACATCAAAGGCATCGTCCACCATGCATTTGTTCCTCCTGGACAAACCGTCAACGCCAAGTTTTACGTGGAAGTGCTCAGGAGACTCAAACGAAGGGTCAGTCGGATCCGACAAGACATCGCAGCCGACTGGAAGTTGCACCACGACAACGCCCCGGCTCACACCGCCTTTCTTGTGAACAGCTACCTGACCAAGGCCGGCATCCTAACTGCTTCCGCAGCCGCCCTACAGCCCAGATGTGGCCCCCCGGACTTTTTTTTGTTTCTTCGCCTGAAAAGGCCGATGAAAGGCAAGCATTTTGAGACGACAGAGGGGATCCAAGCAGCATGCACCGCGGCTCTCAAGGTTATTCCGGAGAATGCCTTCCGTGGCGCCTTCAATGCTTGGAAATCGCGCTGGCAGCTCTGCATCGACGCAGAAGGAGCCTATTTTGAAAGTTTTTAAAGAATTGTAACGATTGGCTCAATAATTTTTTTTAAATCAACTCAGTCCTATTACTTTCCGGACAAACCCTGTATGACGTCCTTGAGCTAGCTGGGGTGGACAGTACCATGGCTATTTACTATTAGTCATCACTATGAGTCAGTGTCAAAGGATTTTGGTATAAGGTATTGAATTCTATGGTAGATATTGAGGGATCAAATAAATTTTAGTGTGAGGACGCCTTACATCAATACCTTTTGAAATAGTGCATACTTACTTGAAAGTTGAAAATGGGCTGACCAAATTGATGCCTTTCGAGAGTGTAAGGTATCGTGGCATCAAAACACCCTTGGGCTAGACCTAACATTTGTGCTGCAATTCCTGCGAAGATTTAAATAATCTGTATGGCTACGTACATAAAAAATACAATAATTGATTAATGCTTGATCCTTGCATACATTTGAGTCCATTGAGCAAGTGCTGCTCACTCGTGTCAGAGTTTCGTTTTACTGATTTGTGTTTTGAAATCAATTAATTAATCTAGGTTTTTTATAAGTTGTGTGATACACAAGATCTATCAGAAAAAAATTATAGGTATCCTGAACAAAAAATATCTCACCTATCCTACCCTCATTTAAAAATCCTATTGCAATTTTATATCCCTGTCCAACTTCACCAATGATATTGCTGTCTGGGACCCTGACATTATCGAAATTTACGGTACAGGTTCCAGAAGCACAGATACCCAATTTTTTCTCTGGCTTGCCAACACTGAGGCCAGGTGAGTCTCTGTCCACTATGAAACATGTGATGCCTTTGTACCCCTACATTGATGCCACATAAAAAATTACACAAGAAAACAATAACAGTACATACAATAGTATTTCAGGTTATTGTCCTGAACTGGGTTTAAATTATCGGCAACATCTGATACTTATGTGGTTTTTCTGCTGACCGAACTCCATTATTGTCTGCGCATAGGAAACCATTATATGTAAATAAAAAATTAATGACAATACATTCCATATTTATCTGACTTCCAGCTGACAATTCAATTTGTCAAATAGATCATGCCTTTGCCTCGTAAAAAATAATGAAAAAAATTATGTAGATCCTTGTTCAACGTGAAGTTATGTTTGTTTTTGTATACATATATTGCCAAATCGTATATAAATAAAGTAGGCAGTGTTAGTTATAGTGCAGAAAAAGCTCCTTACAGCTGTGAGTTGTATCAACACCGGTCATACACCTTCACATTCTTTTCTGGCTTAAGAAGACCTGACGTGCATTTATAGACGCACCGCACCCCAAAAGGACAGTGCGTATCTGAGCCTGGATTTTACTTGTGAGTAATAAAGTGAAACTAACTAGTCTGCCAAAGTTGTTCGAAAGTTCTTGAAAATATATGACCATATGAATTCAGTGAGCTTTAAAGCTGAGGCACTCATCCAAATATAAGCCTAAGAATTTAGTTTCTCAATGTTGTTTATTTGCAAATTTGAAGGTGTTAAATGTTTTTGTGCATTCTGATATCTCATGATTGATGCTTTTCTAGATTTAAATCAAGATAGATATTAAAAAACCATTCATGGATCGCGTTCACAGTCCTTATGTAATATGACGTCGCTTTTGTTAGACAACACTATTGCCACATCATCTACGTAGAGCCTAAAGTCGGCCGGCCCAAAATAAAGTGCTATATCATTGATATATAAAGTGAACAGCACTGGCCTTAAAATCGATCCCGAAGGGACACCAGCGATTATATCCACCACATCAGATTTCGAGTCTGAAATGAGATTGTCAAAATTTTGTGATAAGCACACAACTGACCAAAATGACCAAATCGTCATGAGGTGGACCAACCATACTGAACTAGTTTACTTAGAAGCAATTCATGCATTACGCAGTTGAATGCTGTGGCCGAGATCACTGAAGAACCCTACAGGCCACTCTTCGCCTTCCATGAACTCTGTAAGTTTGCCAACAAAATTCAGCAAGGCCGTATGCGTCGATTTTCCTCTGCAAAACCCATGTTGTTTTCCCGATGTGACAAATAGTACTGTTGGCGCCATCTGTTGGGCGAGTCTCCTACCCGCCGGAGCTTCATGGCCGATCTCTGCTTTTACACGAACCACGACAGCACAAGCCGCTTGGCGGCGCCTGTGAGGACCGTGGCAGTGTCTCACTTTCTAGATCGACGCGAAGTGACCTCCAATATTCTAGATGCCGCTTTGTGGTTCACAAGACCCTTACCGAAGCAGCAATGGGGACTATATATAAATCGGCGGCCGGGAGAGTACTGAATACGGTAGAGTAGCAGAGCGGAGTGGAGAATAGTGCAGTCAAGTGCAGCAAAGGTAAATAAATTAGTGCATTTCTTTTTGTGGAACCCAGTGTTTTAATCCACACCCAAAAGGATCCAGAAAAACGCTACACCGTTAAATCATTTATAACCCATAAACCGCACCAATCTGTCCAAGTAGCAGTACTCAAAAGCTTCCGAGAAACAAAAAGGAACTATGGCGGGTCTATAATTACGTCTATCTGAAGGATCACCTTTTATAAAGATTGGTATTACTTTACCATGAATACTAGAGGCTTAACTATATATCTTAATACTTTTTCCACTAGAAATCCAGTCTTCTACTTCCAGGTTTTATCTTATGATTTTTTATTGGATCCCAAATACTGTACTGTGACAAAGGAGTGGTGGCCAAAACGTCAGCAAAAAAGTAATTTATACATATATATAGTTTCACTTGGCCAGAAAATCATAGAGTTCTATTAAATTATCAGATTTCTCTAATCTAACCATGGATATTATAGTGATTAAATATACCTTTGACGGATCCACATTTGCCATAACTAGAAAGATCCCCGCGATATCTGAGTTTGATATCCACATTTTCGATCCATTAAGTAGATAGGCAGACCCATCCTTTTTTGCTGTCGTTTTTAAAGAAAATGCATCAGTACCCGAACTTACTTCAGTCAGGCAAAAACTGCCTGCCTAAAAAATATTCTTATAAAGACTCAAATCCAAAGGGTTTAAAATCAGGAATAAAATTATGAGAAACGAGTAACCTCTTTCCTTGAAATTGTAATTGGACATGAACGTTTAAGTACACCATATATGATTGGGCATCTTTTTGGAGAATATGTTGATCAGTGCTTAAACTTATTTTGAAGATGGTGTCTTACCGTTTCTGTGGCCAATTTTGGCAAATACCTGTCCTTCTGATCTTTAGTACCGAGTTTCATGATGACTGAATTAACAAGAGTATTCTGAATATCTACTAAAACTGCCACAGCTGGATCTACTTTAGCTATTTCCTCTACTGCGACTACAGTTGTCGTAAAGTTGCACTCAGATCCACCGTAATCAGAATCTATTTCGATGCCCAACAGCTAAAAAATGTACATAGGAAATAATGTATGGCACTGGTACGTATACTCGTACTTAACATTTTTGTGTTTTGTAGATACATACATCATAACCAATAGAAAGTTTGAAGAAATACATACCCCATTTTGGAACAGCATGTCCAGCACAGCATCATTGATTCTGCCATTCTGTTCCATTTCCCTTACATGGGGCGCTATTTGTTCCTTTGCGAGGCGAGCAACTGAAAAATATCCTTCATTCTACAGGGTGTTCTGAAAATGCATTAGAAAACTTGACATCGGTTAAGCTCCTAAAAGCTTCTTGGCCACAGAGAAATAAATTATTTTATTAAACATTTAACTTTTTCGATTCGTGTCTCGTTGCATAAAACCAGTGATTTCGTAACCGATTACATAAATAACTGTATACTACGGTTTTTTATTACCTCCATTATTCAGAGCAATCCAAAACAAGTATTTTAGTTTATTCAAGAGGATATTCAGAAAACAATGACAACATTTCTAGGGCAAAAAGTAGATCCAAAAAAAGAAATATTCATATAGGCATAAACCCTAAAATGTCCTATTACCCAAACACAGATTTTTGAAGCAATAATTTCTGTATCTGAAAAAATGTGTCTTATACATTTAAAATGTTTCGTGTCGGAGAATATACTAGTTGCGTAGAAATTTGTAATATTTTACCCCTACAGAAAGAAAAAAAATAATTTTCTGCACCTCTGAGTTTTTTGAAACATCTATTGCATTTTTCAATAGGTTAATTAATTTTACATGAATTGTCTCCCTTGAGAAAATTTTGTCACACTACTGTTTTGGACGAAAATTGGTCTGGATGTCCGAGATAAAAGAACTAGAATCACTTCTATTTGAAAAACACTGAAGCATTGATACTACCTGATTGTAATTGATGGCTGAAGTAGGTGAAGTTGGAAAATTATTGTATTGGGAGAGTAAGCCTATCCATAGCGTTCTTTGAATAATATTCATGCTTTGTTCTTATTATGGCGTAGAAATTTACCACACCCTGCTTTTTTGTACTTTCTGCTCTAGAATCACCCCGTATAATTGCAAGTCAGAAAAAATCAATTGTCCTACCTGTTTCTTTCATAACCTTCTCATCATCAGATAATTCAGTAACAGGTAGATGACCAGTTGAAGTCATGCGTTTTGTCAGATTGACGATATCTTTGAACCTGAGAATCTGAAAAGTTTTCCGGACTAATACTCTATACCTCACCTCACAATTTATAGGAACTTACCTTTCTCGTGAGACTATTCATTTTTTCTGTAGGTGCTAATACTTACAAATTCTTCAAATAGTTACTAATAAATCACAGCAACTAAGTCTTTATGGTTACAAAATATCGTCACATGTTTTTTGACCTGTGACCTTGTAACCATAATTGTTTAAGATATCCATAATCATCATTGATATGTTGAAAATCTACGTTAGGCTGGGAGATATAGCTTAAAATTTTTAAAAATGTAATAAGACGTGTCAAATCGAATAAATGCAGTTTATAAGAAACTTAACACAAACAACCCCACGACAACCCGATTTGAACTTTGGTAACGTTATTTTTGCGTTCTTATCGAAAGCACCTCCTGAGCTAGAAAATATAAAAAGAATATTTTCATTCCTAAAAATCTTGACTAAAAGAAAATCGTATAAGTAATGTATTTTACAAATAATAAAAAAGAACGTGTGAGACTGGTCCTGTATACGTACTTTCACCGCCTGCGTATCTGCTAAGTTGGGTCAGCCAATTTGGTGGTACCAGGTCAGGAAGGCTAAGCAAAAATTAGAGTATCATCATTTAAATTCTAATGGCTGATTTTTATATTCAGGGTTGTTATTGTTTTAGATCTATTTAGCATTAATGCTACAATATCCATGTTACACAATATAACACATAATATATTATGTCTTTAATTAATAATTAATTGTATTTCTTGCCCAACTGGTCGTTGGCAATGACAATGAATACTACTCGTATATACATATATACAGGGTGGTCCATCCATGTGTGGACGGAATATTACTCATAAGCAAATACATTTTGAGAAAATCTATTAATGGCATGTTATACATGACATGTGAGGGCACGTTTATAAAATATTGGCAACTATACAGGGTGTCCCAATTTTGACCTACATATCAAAGTTGTGATTTCTTGAATGGAATGCCTCAAATTTTATTGCATATTTGGATAAACCAATTCAAAAGAAGAAGATTGATATAACATACTATGGGGTTTTGGTAATTAGCTATTGAGATGTAAGGTGTTTTGTCCAGAAAAACCGTCCACTTCGGCAACCCCTCAGTCCGCCATTTTGAAATTTGGAGTGCTGAATTTTGTATCAAAAAAAACTTACACACCTTGAATGAATGAATGAATCTTGAATTTTAGAGGCATCCCGGCCACCATAAGGAGCCAGTGCATAGGCCGCTTAAGCGGGCCCTTATGCACCTCTACAATACTTAAATCACAAGCCTCGCCCTTTTAGCGAAGTTGAGAATCGCCTTGAGTCCAAGCTCCTTTACGTCCTGAGGGTCCAAAGTAATGGACCCCAGTATAGTCTGCCTATAGTAGCTAAGAGCTTCACAGCGACACAAAACGTGCGCCGAGGTCTCTTCCTCTACTCCGCAGCGTTCGCATAAGGGATCCTCAGCCACCCCCATCACGTGCAGGTGCCGCCTTAACGTGTTATGGCCAGACAACAGTCCCACCAGCAACCTTAGGTTGGCTCTACCCAGAGATAGGCAGAAGCGTCCATCCTTAGCACTGGGCCCTTCAATGAGCTCTCGTGCCTGGCGGAGATGTCTAGAGATACTTCTCCATTTCTGAGAGTGTTGTCTTGCAACCCACGTCTCCATTTTCCTCCTAGCTTTATGCGCGGTTACTCCTAGAGCTGGCTCAGGACCAACGAGCTTGCTGGCTGATCCTGTTTTCGCCAGAGTGTCCGCCGTCTCATTGCCCCTTATCCCAGCGTGCCCCGGTACCCATATTAACGATACCGGATGCCTCGCTGCGAGGCAATCCAGAGCCTCCCTGCATTGCAATACAAGACTCGAAGTAATCTTACATGCACTTAGTGCTTTCATTGCAGCCTGGCTGTCGGATAAGATTGTTATTCTTCTCCTAGGCCCACCCTCCTCCAGAATGTGAGATACACAAGCCAGAATCGCAAAGATTTCCGCCTGGAAAATGGTGGTGTACTCACCGAGAGGCAGAGATAGCCTAGTTCTAGGTCCAGAGACCCCAGCACCTGAGCCCTCTTCGGTGACCGAGCCGTCCGTGTACCAGACCTGCCCGCTCACTTCGGAGAGTCCTCGGCTACCGGCGTCCCACTCCTCCCTCGTTGGGTACTCCACAATGAACTTGCGGTTGAAGCGATATTTAGGGGTAATACGATCACCCCTGCTTAGAAGGACGGGGTCCTCCCTATCTAATTCGACTAATATGGCAGTATGCCCCTTGACCGGATTCAAGAAAGCCCAGCTGCCCTGACTCCACAGTCGATGAGCGACTACTCTCGCTTCACCGCGGATCACCAGATCCAACGGTGGGAGATCCAACAGAGCTTCCATTGCACTCAATGGCGTTGTTCGCACTGCGCTTGTAATGCTAATACAGGCCAAACGCTGAATTTTATTGAGTTTGGCCTTAGTTGACTCAGTTCTAATGCAAGGCCACCAGACCAGGGAGCCGTACAAGAGAGATGGACGTACTATCGTCGTGTAGAGCCAGTATACCACTTTGGGTTTAAGCCCCCACCTTACACCGACAACACGTCTACAAGCCCACATCGAATTGCGAGCCTTGCTAACCTTGTGTTCCACATGCTCTCTCCAGTTCAGTTTGCAGTCCAGGATAATTCCCAGATATTTCACTGACTGGGACAAAACTAATCTAGTCCCAAAGAAGGTAGGCATGACCAGTCCGTCAAGCCTTCTTCTCCTAGTGAATAGGATCAGCTCGGTCTTTTCAGCATTAACAGAAAGATCGACTTCCCTACACCACGATTCCACGGAGCGCAGAGCGCCCTGCATAATTTCCGAGACTGTTCTACAGAAACGCCCCCTAACCACTATGCTTACGTCATCAGCATAGGCTTGCACGTAGACACCCATACTGTTGAGCCTAACGAGCAGTTCGTTCACCACGATACACCACAGTAGGGGTGACAGAACTCCACCCTGAGGGCAGCCTCTAGCTACGTTCACGCTGCAGCTTACGTTATTCAGCATAGCTGTTGTTACCCGACCCTCCAGAGTAGAGAGGACCCAATCTATTAGGATTGATCCAACCCCGTGTCTAACCAAGGCCTGTCTGATAGAGTCGGTTGTGGTGCAATTAAATGCACCTTCAATATCTAAGAAGGCCACGAGTGCCACTTCTCGCTGATCTAGAGTCTTCTCCAGCCTCCCAACCAGATTGTGTAAGGCCAGATCAGTCGATTTTCCAGCTTGGTATGCAAACTGATTTGCATGAATGACACACCTTTCCAGTGGGCCATCCCTTAGGTATCTATCAACTATCCTTTCCAGGGTCTTAAGCACAAAAGATGAAAGAGTAATCGGTCGAAAATCCTTCGGGCCAGTATATCTATCTCTGCCCGGTTTAGGAATGAATACCACTTTAGCCTGCCGCCAACTTCTAGGTGTGAAGCCCGTGGCCACACATGCTCGAAACACATTCAACAGGTAAGGAACAACCGAAATCCGTCCCTGCTGTAACATGGCCGGAAATACGCCGTCCAGACCTGGACTTTTGTATGGGGCAAACGAATCTACTGCCCATACCGTCCTTTCGAAGGTGACAATCTCCCTTGCCGTGCGCCAGTCCTCCCTTGAGGGCCTGCGCAACTGCATGCACTCTGTGATTGATCGCGCTACTGTGGAACCGGGAAAGTGCGTATCCATCAGAAGCCTCAGAGTATCTTCCTCGGAAGTAGTGTTCCCTCCCGAGGGATCATGCAGAGATCCCAATCTTGCTTTAGTGTCTTTGCATAGGACTCTGTGTATTCTTGCAGTAGCAGGAATGTCATTTATGGACTGACAGAAGTGCCTCCAGGATTCTCTGGAGGCCCTTCTAATCTCCTTTTTGTACTCCTGCAATGCCTTTTTGTATTCTTCCCATAGAGGAGAACCTCTCCTGTGCTTAACTCTGCTAAGAAGTTTGTGCACCGCTCGTTTTCTATCCTCTAAATCTTTGGTCCAGAAGGTTGCCTTGCCCTTACCTTGTACTTTGCGTAACGGGCAGTTTTCCTCATATGCGGCCGTCAAGTCCCTGCTCAGAGACTCGACAGCTGCTTCTATGTCAGAGCCCCTGCCAAGCCTGTATGGGACCGCTCCAAGCTTACTGTCAATGTCTGCCCTAAAGGACCCCCATCTAGTATGCCTGGGATTCCGAGCATATTTATCCGGAATCTCTCCATCAGTCTTGAACAGTATATACCTGTGATCCGATAGAGAGGGTGTTAGAGACACTTTCCAGTCCCTGATGTCCTGAGCTAAGTTAAGCGTGCTCAGTGTTACGTCGATAACCTCTTCTCTTACACTATTGCTGAAAGTGGGCATGTTACCGACATTCAGAACCTCAAGGTTCGATGCCCCAAGAAACTCCATCAGGTCTTCGCCTCGTCTGTTGGTGTTCGAGCTGCCCCACGCAACGTGATGGGCATTACTGTCGCATCCAATCACAAGGTCGAGTCCAGAATCCCTACAGAATGCGACAAGGTCCCCCATTTCCTTAGACGGAGGAGGGTCTCTTGAATCGTAAGGAAGGTAAGCCGAACAGACAACCAAGTCCCTGTCACCGCCTTCCTTCTTATATCTAATTCTGACTGCAACTAAGTCTCTAAATGTAAATTCTTTAAGTTGCCATGAGTTGACGGAAGTCATTACGCAAGCTCTGGGCTTAGTGTCCGGAGTATCGCTAAAAAGCGTATAGCCCGGTATACTAAGCCCGTTTACTGAACCGTTTCTCAGCCAGGGTTCCTGGATGAGAGCCACGTCATGTCGGCCTCGAGTGATCTCCTGAGTAAGGGCCCTCGAAGCCGCTATGCAGTGTTGTAAGTTAATTTGGATGAAATTAAAACTTACCATGGATGTTGAGAGGCCCTTCCTACACCTTCTCGAATGACGGTATGTAACCCCTATTCGGGCGTACCGCCGTCGCCGCCGCAGTCATCGCTGCCACAGCCGCCTTCATCTCCGCTTCCACGGAGGAGTTCTCGGACTCGGTTCAGGATTCCATCCTCGTCCGAGTCGCTATCGTTTTCCTCTGGGACCAGATCCATCGCAGGGTCCGCCACGATGTTTTCTGCGGATATCCCGCTTGGACCCGCCGCCTCCACGTCCGTAGCCTCCGGTGGCTCCAGCGAGAGCTGACCCGGCCGACCCATCCCCTGTGAAGGAGCCTGGTCTACCGCCACAGCTCCCGTCGGTCTGGGCTGGTCCGACTCCTGGTTTGGAGCCAGGCCA